CGTCCGAAAACTTTGCTTTAAATGACATCTCCTATAAACCACTGAGCCAATTTCATCCAAACTTCCCCGGGAATTTCCTTTTGGTGGTCCCCTTTAAAAATTTTTCAAAGAATTTAATTCCATGCAGAACTTGTTGCCATGGGAAACCAAAAAAAAAAAAACTTTAAATATCTTTTTTTAAAAAAACCAAAAAGAGCTAAGCTTAATATTTGGCATAAACTTTCTAGTGATGTCTCCCAAGTTTGTTCAAAAAAAACCCCTGGGGTCAAAATTGGCCCCCCCCGGGGGGGGGGTCATTGATTTTCCCTATATGATTAGAAAAAACTTAAAAATTTTCTTTTAAAAACCCCAAACTAGAGCTAAATTTTTGCATAAAATTTCTAAGGGGAGTCTCCCAATTTGTTCAAAAAAAAACCCGGGGTCAAATTCCCCCCCCCCTGGTTCATATTTTCCCAATCAATATAAAAACTTAAAAAATCTTCTTTTAAAAAAACCTAAGGCTAAGCTTAGAATTTGCATAAAACTTTTCAGTAAATTTCAACCAATTTTGTTCAAAAAAAGCCCGGGGGTCAAAATTGCCCCCCCCCAGGGGTCATGTTTTTCCCCTATATGCATATAGTAAATATTTAAAAATCTTCTTTTAAAGACCCAAAGACTAACAAAGATATTAAGCAAAACATCTTTAGTGAGTGTCACCAAGTTTGTTCAAATTAAACCCTGGGGCAAAAGGGCCCCCCCCCGGGGCATGATTTTCCCTATACGTATAAAAAAAACTTTAAAAAATTTTTTTTTAAAGAACCAAAACTAAGTTAGATTTTGGCATAAACATCTTTAGAATTCTCCCAAGTTTGTTCAAAAAAAACCCGGGGGTCAAAATTGACCCCGCCCCAGGGGCATAGATTTTCCTAATGCAAAATAGTAAAAACTTAAAAAACTTCTTTTAAAAAACCCAAAAAGAGCTAGAGCAAAAGATTTTTAGCATGAAACATCTTCTAATGAGTGTCTACCAAGTTTGTCAAATAAAATCCCTGGGTCAAAATGGCCCCGCCAGGGGTCATTGATTTTCCCTATAGTGCAATATAGTAAAAACTTAAATAAATCTTCTGATTAAAGAACTCAAGACTAGAGCTAATATATTAGCATGCAAAATGTTCTAATGGTGTCTACCAAGTATGTTCAAAATAAAAACCCTGCGGGGGTTTTTCAAAATAAAACTGGGGGCCCCCCCGGGGGCCCCCGGGGCGGGGTCCCATTGGGGATTTCTTATATTGCTATAGCAAAACTAAAAATCTTCTGGAAAAACCCAAAGCTAGAGTTTAGATATTAAGCATGAAACATCTTTAAGTAAAATATCTAACAAAGTTTGTTAAAATAAACGCCCGGTGCGGGCAAAACTGGCCCTCCCAGGATATTCATTGTTTTTAACTATAATGGTTTATAGTAAAACTTTAAAAATCTTCTTTTAAAAACCCAATGAGCTAGAACTAAGAGTTTAGCATTGAAACATCTTTTTATGGTGTTCTACCAAGTCTGTTCACAATAAACAAATAAAAGCCCTTGGGGTAAAAATTGACCCGTGTGGTGGGGGGCCTAATACAGGTGAGCTACCTCAGGCGCCATCATGCCCTCTTGTTTTTTTTGCCAACTACTTGCCGAATTAAATGTTTTATTTTATGCCTGTAAACACTAACTGTAAAGCAAGGTTGTTTACAAATCGTTCTCAGGTAGGTAAGGGAGCTTAGAAACTCCCGGTGTCCCAACAAGTTTTGACATGTGCGAAGCATTCAAATATTTTATGTATCCGCATATTACAGAAGACAGACAATATGATATTTTGTAAAACTGTGTTTGCATAGAGCTTACTGCTCCTTTTCTAACCAGAAAGAAAACAATATAACACAATGAAGAAGTAAGACACAAATAAAATATTACACCTCTTGGCATTTGTCATAGGCTACTGTATCATTATAGTGTAGCAGAAGAAAGGTTACAGTTGAAAAGACACTGTTTTAGTACTAAAAATACTAGTTTTGTGGTGCAAAATATTCCCTTTTAATGTATATTTAAATTAAAAGCCCCTACGTAAGCTACAGTCAAAATTGCCTGGTTTGGTAAGTAAACGTAAAATTAAAAAAAAAAAAAATCTTCTCTAAATCTACAAGAGCTAAAGCTTAGTTTCCATAGCAACCAGTGACTTCATAGCAACCATTGACTTTTCATAGTAAACTGTAAGTTTTCATAGCAACCAGCAAACATTATTTTTCCATAGCAACAAGTGAATCAACCAATGAATTTCATTATTAAGCAGCACTTGAACTTCCAAGGGAACCATTTATTTTGTGTAGCAAACAGTTTCAATTTTTATGGAACTGTTGTTCTCCCTTAGCAGTAGCAACCATTTAAGTTTTTACTCATGCACTATTTCAGATACAAATATGAACTCTGTGATTTAAGTTTAAGATTTTATTTCTGCATCATTCATACCAGTAGTTTACAATATTACTTGTTCCTTGTCATGGAGAATATTCATATTTAGGTTAGCGATATCAGGGCCATCATGGCCCTCTTGTTTATTTTAGGGTCATTCTATTACAAAATCATACTATTCTTTGTTTTGCTAATTAGTTGTGTGTTTTTTTCCTGCAGATTTTAATAGCAAAATGCATGTATTTTTAAAATAGTTGAATGGCGAGTGTTATAATGAAAATTACTAAAAACTGAATTTTGATCAGCAAAGCATTTGGACATAAATTAAGGACTTACTGTTTTCACCAAAATGCTAAACTAGTACATTACATACATGTAAGTAATCAGTTGGACTTTCTTTTCTGCATACATGTATGTATTGTCAAATACGCCATTGTTCCTTTTACTAACACAAACTTTTAATTTACTTACAGGTGCTAGAGAAATAGATTTCAGCATGTCAAATCATGGTAAGTGTTACAGAAAAATTAATATTGTTTGAAATTTTATTACATTATAGAAATAGTAGTTTGATACTTTCATTGTAGTTTTGCATGTAGCATTGTCAAGTTAACCTATACTAATGTTACATGAATAGTTTACTCTATTGTCTTGAAGGCTTTGCCTCAATGTGACCATTGACCTTCAGCATTGAAGAATTATGTCTTTCTCTAGGCTCAGGTCTCAGGCGAGCTCTCTTAAGGGCTTCAGATGTTTTTTCCCCTATGAGTTCTAACAAAACATTTAATCTTACATTCCTCTTTATTCTAAATCCTAATTTGTTGATGAAAAGTGCATTAATAATGATCAAAAGTAAATTATTACGTTAAGCTATTTTCTTTTAAGGTATATAGACAGTTAAGAAATTTTTTTGCCAATTTTGACAAAATGGAACGATTATTGTTCCTTTTTTTATCAATGTGAGTAGAACCACCAAAGTTTTGTAAGTTCAAGCTGGGTAGCTTCCTCTCATGAATGAATCCAAATTGAACCCAAAGGGGTGAGTAAATGCTCCAGAAAGTTTTATAGGAGCATAATAAATATGATATAAGGTACCAGTTTTTAAATATTCTTATAAACTAAAGGGGAGGGGGGGGGGCTGCGGGTCGGGGGGCGGACTTTCGTTTAGTGTTACAGAATATTCTTGTTGAAAATATTTCTTTTTAATGTTAGCTATTTTTAATTTTACTCTTTTCTAGACTACAGTCCAGGTGACCTTGTATGGGCTAAGGTTGACGGTCACCCTTACTGGCCAAGTCTGGTGTGTAATAGCCCTCAAGATCACACACATTCCAAGATTACAAAAAAAGGCATTCAGATTCATGTACAGTTCTTTTCCTCACCATGGACCCGTGCTTGGGTTAAAGTCAAGTAAGTATTGTCAGTATATTTTTTTTTCGGTGATGTTAATCGTAGATAACTTTTGCTGTATACACATTTTAGCATACCAAACAAGGCTTTTTTTATTTTTATTTTTTTTAGTTCGCTTTTGTTTTTTTATCTTTTTTACATCAGTTTATCTTTTAAAGATCAGTTCTATTTGTTTGTTTTTGTTGAGACTTTGTATACGCTTAGTAAAGATTGTCCATTCTGAATAGTTTCAGTTTTTGTTTTGTTTGTTGTTATTTATTTTTTGTGATTTTGTTTTGCTTGTTTGTTTGTTTTGTTTTTTTTATACAACAGGAAGGTTTTAGTTTTACATACACTTATACAAACATATAACCGATATTTTTACTACTTACTTTTGTTTGAAATGACATCACATTGGTTTAAACATTTACAAAAAAATGTATTGTATATGGAGACATTTGTTTACTACTGACAGCTGTTAAATTTGTACAATGTGCATTTGAATAACATCAGTTTGATTGGGAGGTTGTGTCTTAATAATCATAAAATCTATATCAATCGTCTGTGATCACTGTGGCTGTGAAAATATACTTGAGTAGATGTTTACCATGTTTACATTGTAAGTAAATTATTACAAATGGAAAAAATATTTACAATAGCATGATACAATGTAAGTATAAAATTATGTGTTAAAGGGACTCCACTGAGGTTAAAAAGCCTAAGACCATAACATTTGAATTTCTTACATAAATGAGCTGGGGCACTTTAAACAGAAATATATGCAAAGATAGTTAAGAAATATACTTTGAAATAAATTGAAAATTATATTTTTATGCTTTTCTTAGCAAAGTGTTTAAAAGCTTTTCATTTTGGGTCATTTTTTGTACAACTTGAACGATAAAAATATTCTGGAAAAAGGAGTGCGCAAATGACAAAGATTAGTGGTCTAAACCTACATAAAATGGTACATTTATCTGGAAAAAATATTTTCAGTGCCATCATGTCAAAAAACCTCAGTGGAGTGAGTCCCTTTAAGTGCTAAGATAATGTTTTCTTTGGAGAAAAAATGTGTGTGTGTTTTTTGTTGTTGTTTTTTTATTGATATTAATATATAATGGAGTAGCCTTCAATTCACTCAGATCTTGAATCTAATTTTAGATGAGTTTATAACAGAGAATTATTTTTTCATAATAATTCTTAAAGGGACTCCCACTGAAAGGGTTTTGACATTGAAGGGACTGGATATATTTTTATCGAAAAATTGCATACTTTTTTGATATATGTCTTGACCAATATGTGTGTGCAAAAATTTTCATATTATTCGCTTAACTCTATTTTTTCCTAGAGTAATCATTTTAATTGTGTAAACAGCCTAGAAAAGAAAAAGTGTTTAAATGCTTTTAACTCTTATTATAAGAAAAGAGTTGATTTTCAGTTTAAATCTGAGTATTTTTTTTTTAAGAATTTTTAAGTTCCGTGGGAGACATGTATTTATGTTTTTAGGCTTTTGGAAATCGGTGGAGCCCCCTTTTTTAAAGCTCTGCGCTCTTCAAGACTCATGCCAATTTTTAATGATAGTTTATAGGAGTGTTTCAAAATAAAAAAATATAGTCAAGAATCTTGCATTTAATGGCTAGAAAAAAAATAGCCATCTAGCCAAAACATGCATTAAATGTACCATGTGACCCAATTTTATACCAAAAGTTTAAAAGTGGAAATTTTTATGCCCCCACAATGTGGGAACATATAGCGTTGCACTTGTCCGTCCGTCCGTCTGTACGTCCCCGAAATCTTGTGAATGCAACTCCTCTTAAACCGGATGGCAGATTTTTGCTTAAACTACAGGGATGAACAACCTAATGTGTAGAATGGTATAAAGGAAGGGAATTTTGCTCGGCGACCAAATTTAACAGAATTATGGCCCTTTGTTGATTTTTTCACTATATACTATGTAGAAATTTTGTGAACGCAACTCCTCTTAAACCTGATGGCAGATTTTGCTTAAACTTCCTGGGATGAACAACCTTAATGTGTAGATGGCAGTAAAGGAAGGAATTTTGCTGCGACCAAATTTAACAGAATTATGGCCCTTTGTTGATTTTTACACTATATACTATGTAGAAATTTTGTGAACGCAACTCCTCTTAAACCGGATGGCAGATTTTGCTTAAACTTCCAGGGATTAACAACCTTAATGTGTAGATGGTAGTAAAGGAAGGAATTTTTGCTGCGACCAAATTTAACAGAATTATGGCCCTTTGTTGATTTTTAGTTTTCAACTTGTAGCACATGTAGTCCAAAAAATATTTGACCTAGAGTCATAAGATTGACAGAACAGTGGCGTGTGGGGGCATCCGTGTTCTATGGAAACATTTCTAGTTTTTTCACTATAGAATCTGCATTTGATTGTTACTATTTTTAGAACATAGCAATTATTTTATGTGTTACAGAAGTGTTAGACCATTTGCTGGTAGGAAGATAGATGACTGTAAACCGGGAGGTATTTTCTACTCCAACAAAAAAGCTCTCTGGTTAGCTGTTGAGGAGGCAGAGAAAGCCGAGTTCATGACCTTGAAGGTAATGTCACATCAATGTCAGGTAATGTCACATCAATGTCAGCTCAATAACTTTATACAAATGTTACTATAAGGCATGCTGTCTTAAACCTAGTAGAGAGGATGGTCATGGCCAGTAGATGACCTCTAATTTTTTTAAGGTCATTAGGTCAGAAGTCAAAGTCACAGTGACACTTAGTACACTTAGTGGAAAATCTTTGTCGGACCATTAGCTTGAAAAGAATATGCTTTAATAGGTTGTGAAACTTGATGGGGATATTACCCATGGCCGGTAGATGAACCCTATTTAATTGATATAGGGTCATTATGTCAAAAGGTCAAGGTCACAATGACACTTGTGTAATATTCTTGTCTGATCAATAATTTGGTTTGTTTTCCTGTACCCATCACATTTTAACATTGCACATCTTAAAACAGTACATACTTTGTGTGTGTAATACTCCAACATGTGGAGCTCGTGTGAATATGACACAAAGAAGGGTGCAATTAGTAATCTATATAAAAACATTAATGGGATTTATAACCATATTAGGCAATGTGTCACTGGTACATGTATGATTATTATAAGAAACAAATTTTTGTATAATTCATGCAGTATCAAGTGAACAGTGACCTTGAATAATACTTGTATTATTACTGGCGGTCATTCATATTCTTTTATGTTCCCCCTCCCCCGCCCAGTAGGAAAATTGTCAAATTTTTAATCCAGAGAGGTTGGTTATTTGATTCTTGGACAAGGTGAGATCTCTCAGTGACCATTAATCTAGGACATTGAGTCTTGAGGTCATTTGTCCCTTACTGATGATGCAGAAATCATGTGGGATTAGTAGTTGCTCACTTATGGAGAAACTTATAATTACTGGTTAGTTATTTAGAAGGGCAACCAAGTTGGATGGACCGCTAATATCAATAATGTGTTAAAATGGGCCTAAAAACAGACATGCATACAATTCGTCCTCTTTTTTACTGGCAAGTTATCTGGAAAAGCCACCAAGATGGATGTACCGCAAATACCAATAATTTGTTAAAATTGGCTTAATAAAACAGACAAACAAACTTGCAAATAATTCTCATATTCTAGAAAGTGTTCATTTTTCTTGGAAAAGGTTAAGAATATATCAGTTCTATGTTTGATAAATAAAGAATGAAGGATTGTATAAGCTTTTAAGAATGGTTAAGTTAAACCTAAAAAAAACTGCAAATTTTACCTCCCCCCCCCCCCCCCCCCCAGCTAATTGAGCGCGTCTTTTCAGAAGAAGTATGGCTGAAAATGTAAATCTGCATGCCTCTAAATCAGCCAAAATATTTCAAGAAAATCAACGTTGAGATAAATGTACTAAGATTTTAAGATGTTGTTTCACAATTTAAGAAAGAATTTTCATAATATATGCAATTAAAGACTGATTTTGCAGTATTTGTCACCATTATTTCTACTTGTGACTAAAGCTGTTTTTTACTGCTTGACTAATGCAGTAAGAGGTATTTTTGCATAATCTGACAATTTTTTGGGTAATTTTCATAGATTTTAAGTGCTGTTTTCTATGTAAAATTACCTTTTTTTGTTCGCTTGATGATTCTTTACTTTTTAATCTATTTTAAAAAAGAATTCATGAAAATAAGCAAGGATCTGGAGTCATGCTGCTTTAATAACAATTTTTACAAGATCATTTTATATTATGAAGAATATGTAATAATTTGAGCCGTGTCATGACAAAACCATCATAATGGGTTTGCGACCAGCATGGATCCAGACCAGCCTGCACATCCGCGCAGTCTGATAAGGATCCATGCTGTTTGCTATCAGTTTCTCTACTTGTAATAGGGCTTGTAAGCGAACAGCATGGATCCTGATCAGACTGCGCGGATGCGCAGGCTGGTCGGCTGGTCTGAATCCATGCTGGTCGCAAACCCATTATGTTGGTTTTGTTATGACGCGTCTCACTTTAAGAGTATGATCATTTAGGAGAGATTACAACTGATGATTGCTAGTCCATGCAAGGATGATGATGAATCTGATGATGAAGAAGACGATGACGACGATGATGATTATGATGATGATGACGATATATTGAAGGACAACAAAAAGCACAAGCCTATTACAAAGCAATCTACCAAACAGCCTCAAGCAAAGAAAAGGAAAGCTGAAAAAGGTAGGATTTTAAACAATTTTTTCTATTTAAAGTAGTGACCTTGACCTTGAACCCAGGGGTCACAAAGCCATAATCTAGGTAAGATTACTAGTAAGTAATTATCAATATACAATGTACATTTACCTAAGATGTCTGAGTAGGTACAATGCTAAAAATTGACAAAATTAGGTAGTTTTTATAGTTTTGATAACATTTTTCATTACCAATTATTGGTCAATCACCATTATATTATTCAATCATTTAAAATATATTTCTGTCTCAGCTAATCATGACAGCCAAAGAAAAAAAAGAAATGTGCATAATGTCACTAAATGTATATATCTAATAATAAAGGAATTGTCCAATTTGTTACTGTCCTGTAACTGAGCCAAGTTGTACAGACTGATTTTTTTATATGTTTGACCTTGGTTTATGTCTCAGTATCATTCAAAGTAGTGTTCAGGTATCACAGATGTTACAGAAACAGTGATCAATTGTTTGCACATCTGTTCTTTATGTAATAATGCATTGAGTACCTAACAGCTTGCAATTTGAAAAAGTGTCTTCTTGCTAAGTTCAATATGGAGATCATCCTTTTTGTAATCCAAGGGTCACTGGTATGATCCTTGAGTGAGGCGAAATTTCTTCAGGACAACTTGTAGGTGGACAGTCTTAAGGTCATTTGTTTCTCACCGCTAAGTCAGACATGATATGGGATTAGTATTTGGTCACTTGTGCAGAGAAATTTCGTAATTACTGGTAATAGTAATCTAGGAAAACCAGTTATGTGGACCAGCCACTGAGATATGAACAAAAATTTGTTAAAATAGTTATAAAATACAAACAAACAAATGTTAAAAAATGTGTATAATAAGTAATAAATGGTCAAGTATTGGTAAGCAGAACAAAAGAAAGCTGCAGTATATGGTTCATATATTCAAAATATTAAGCAAGTTACAGGTTAATTTTGTATATAAATATTTTAAAACCAATCACAGGTTAATTTTGTATATAAATATTTTAAAACCAATCACATGTTAATTTTGTATATAAATATTTTAGAACCATTCACAGGTTAATTTGTATATAAATATTTTAGAACCATTCACAGGTTAATTTGTATATAAATATTTTAGAACCATTCACAGGTTAATCTGTATATAAATATTTTAGAACCGTTCACAGGTTAATTTGTATATAAATATTTTAGAACCAATCAAGCCCAACAAGATGAGGAAGACATCTACGAGCCCGCAAAAAATGAAGATGACATCTTCTAACCCTCCAGGTATGTTTTATTTTCCTTGGAAAAATGTTTTCTCACTTTAGCACATCTAGAAACTTCTTTCACTACATGTTTTAATTGGCAGAGGTTTTAATTAAAAGATGTTTTAACTGTAACTAAAATGCCTCCAGATAACAGTATAAGGAAAAAATCACTAAAACAAAATTTGTTAATGGTAATCGTGTTGAGTGATATTAGCGAATGATAGATATAAAGTGTTGGGTCAGTGATTTAGTTGAATAAATAAGTTTTAAGATGCATTACATGAAAACTTAAAACAACGTTACATTTCTTACATTAGTTTGGAGGTATACAAGTTATAAGTTTATATGACTCTAATAAATATTAGGGCATTCTTCATACATGTAGCTAGGTGTTTTCAAATGTAGTGATTGGAATTATTGGTTTAAGTTCAACTAGAAATAATGATATTTGAACTCTTGGGGGTGAGCGGTGGGGGCAAATTTTAATATGTGCATATAAATCCGCTTAGAAATTAGTTCTTACAAAGGTAATATTATCTAAAGATATTTGTTCACTTTATCAACCTAACATATGTATGGGGTGCATTAGATTCAGTAGTTTAACCAGATAGAGTTGTACACATGTTTATAAGCTGCACATGTTTTGTTTTTTAAAGCAGCACGCCTCCAGATTGATTACGGTATTTCAATGTTTTTAATAAAAAGATTTTTCATTTTTTGTTTTGTCAAGCGTACAGATAAAGTAACCTCAGCTGGCATAAGGCACTTGGATTACACTAGACCTAGAATTTGTCAAAAAAAAAAAAGCATCTTTCACTAAGTAACAGGGTAGAAATATCAAGATGTTAAAGGAACTCCACTTATTTCTAAAAGCCTAAAATTTTAAATTCTAACATAGATAAAGTGAAGCAATTCAATATCAAAAGCCCTGCAATGGATAATAAAGAAATATACCCGAAAAATAAATTAATTTTTTTTTGTGTGTGGTTTTTAGCCAAGTGCAATGATTTTCATTTTTGGGTCATTTTGCACAATTAAAATGATTTTTCAGGAAAAACCAGATGGGGGAATGATCTGAAAATTTGCAGACAAGCTATTGGTCCAGACATACGTCAAATAGAACATGAATCTCGGATAAATATTTCTAGTCTCTTCACGTAAAAAAAACTCAGTGGAGACCCTTTAACACTAAATTCAGTCATACTTTGCCATACATCTTGTATAGGAGTGTGTGTAAATGTTTATAGATTTTAAGAACTTTTATTAATTTTTTTTTAAACTTAAAAATTTCTCATCTGAAGGCAAGCAGCTTTAAGAATTGTTTTACTAACATTGTTATTACAGTATCACAGTCATTTAAAATTGGAAAATCAAGGATTCCCAAGCACTGGAAGACTGCTTATGTCTTGATGAACACAAATGATGTACCAGAAGATCTCACGCCAGATAATTTTATTACAGTAAAAGGTAAAATTGAATATGTTGTAATGAACATGAAGTGAACCCAAGTCACTTTATAATGTAATGACTGTATAGTGAAATAATGTTCCTTTATAATGTAAAGACTGAAACTGAAATCATAATGTAATTACTGTGTAGTGAAATCATGTCACTTTATTATGTAAAGACTGTGTAGTGAAGTCATGTCTCTTTATAATGTAATTACAGTGTCACTTTATGATATAATGACTGTATAGTGAAATCATGTTCCTTTATAATGTAAAGACTGAAACTGAAATCATAATGTAATTACTGTGTAGTGAAATAATGTCACTTTATAATGTAATGACTGTGTAGTGAAATAATGTCTCTTTAAAATGTAATTACAGTGTCACTTTATAATATAATGACTGTGTCTTTTAATAATGTAATGGCTGTGTAGTGAAATCATGTCACTTTATAATGAACATGTAATGACAGTGGTGTGAAATCATGTCACTTTTTAATTTAAGACTGTGTAGTGAAAATCATGTCACTTTATAATGTTATGACTGTCTACTGTAGTGAAATCATCTACCTTTATAATATAAAGACATGAAGTGAAAGCATAATGTAATGACTGAAGCAAAATCATATCACTCTTTAATATAATGACTGTGTAGTGAAATCATGTCACTTTTTAATTTAATTACTGTAGTGTAAAATCATGTCACTTTATAATGTTATTACTACACAGTGAAATCATGTCACTTTATAATATAATGACTGTGGAGTTAAATCATGTCTCTTTATAATGTAAAGACATTAAGTGAAATCATGTCACTTTATAATGTAATTACTATGAAGTTAAATTATGTCCGTGTCACTTTTTGCTGTTTTAAGAAACTATTGGAATGTATTGAAATTATGTCACTACCTCTTTTTAATGTTTAACATGACTACTGGCATTTAGTGAAGTCATGAAACTTTATTTTAAAAAGACAAGGAAGTGAAATTATATCTGTCACTCTATGCTGCAATGACTATGAAATGACATGTTGGCATTGTCATTTTGTGTTGTAATGAATGTAAGATATAAAGTCATGTCATTTAAGCAGTACTGACTATAAAGTGAAGTCATGTTTTGCAATAATGAATTTAAGTTGAAATGTCACTTGTCACTTTTTGCTTTAATGACTGTTAAAAAATTATGTCACTGTTAATTTATGCTACAGTATCATTCTATGAGGTGATGTCATGTCACTTTATAGTAAAATGACATAGAACTTAAATCATGTCACTTTATTTTGAAATTACAAAGAAGTGAATTCCTGTCACATTATGTTGAAATGACAAAGAAATTAAATCATGCTACTTTGTGTTGAAATGACAAAGAAGTTAAGTGAAATCATGTCACCAACCTTTCATGCTAATTTACATGGCTAGAGATATGTACTGAAATCATGTCACTTAATGTTGAAATGACAAAGAAGTGAAATCATGTCACTTTATGCTGAAATGTCAAAGAAGTTAAATCATGTCACATTATTTTGAAATGATATAGAAGTGAAATCATGTCACTTCATGTTGAAATGATAAAGAAGTCAAATCATGTCACTGCCATATTATGCTGATTTAAATGACTAAAGGTATATATTGAAATAATGTCACTTTATGCTGCAATGAAAGTAAGTTGAAGTTATGTCATTTTAAGGGGAGCAATGGCCTAGTGGTTAAGGTGTCTGCCTCTCAACCCAGGGATCATGGGTTTGAGCCCTAATCGGGTCACGACCATGTTTTTTCATATGACACCAGTACTGGTTGGTTCCACTCGAAAGTGATTAATATAAGTTGCAAAAACTTGTTTCTCAATCGAGCTTAAATAAATATGTTTAAACCAATGTCACTTTAAACTGTAATGACTATGAAGTGAAAATATATGTATGTTTCTTTATGCTGTAAAGAATGTAAGGTGAAGTCTATAATAAAAACTATATTGACATTTAAATAAGGAAGTTATGGTGTTTCTTATCAAACTTTTATCTTTATACAATGTCTTTGTTTCCCTTTTCTTAAAAGACTATATCCCCCTTATCTGATATGTAGTTTTACTAACAATGTTGAGAGAACTTGACCTTATCTGTTTTGGTAAAATCAACTGATGATAATATATCATTGCATGTATGAGGCTTTACAAATATTTTAAGATTTTAAGATTCGGAAATCTTTCTTTTTTAAAAAGATTTATATTATGTATTTCAAGGTTAAAACATGCAGGTTTATCATGGTTTACAAAAACAAGTTAAAGTTTAAGAAAATAAACATTTCAAAGTTTTTAAACAATCCTTTTGTTTACTAACATTTCATTGTTTAAAAAAGGCAAAACAGTAAGTTTTTAAAAGATGACAATATTGGATAATTTTCAAATGTTTTTTTTTTTTGCTGCAAACTTATGAAAAATTAAGATATATTATATATTATAAATGCATGTAGTTAAAATGTAATATATTAAATAGCTTTAATCTGGTTTGCTTATATTTCAAGATTTACTATTGTTTTCATGTTTTTGAACTGTTATGTTGTTCACAGATATTCTAGGGGTTCTACTTGCTGTATTTCTTTAAAAAAACGTTATTTTCTTTACTACAGATACAATAAGATTTATAAATCCAAGAAAAATATAAATTTTGATTTGATTTCATGGTTTAAAGTTTTGCTTTACTTATAGGCATACCAAAAGTTTTCAAGGTCTTACAAAATATTGTATTTTTCAACCTATGAAAGAACATAATATGTAGCATTGAATGATCCTGATTCAAAGTATTGAACTGAAAAAAAATTGTTGATTTTTTTCCAGTGTCGGTCATGTTGTCCCTCTTGTTTATTTTCGTGTAACTACTTGAAATGTTATAATGTTGGTTTGAATGATTTATTTATAGCATTGCCTATAAAGAAGGAACATATTGAGCTAGAGCTGCCTGAAGAGAGTGATGAATACAATGATTTAGATTCAGAAGATGAAATTCTGGACTCCGATGAGGATCCTGGATGGTCACCAGGTAACATTTTGGTATAGTTAAAAAATGAACTCTTAGTTTTGGCTATATACAATTAACAGTCTACTATAAATGTCTGCAAAAAAGTGATCCCTCAGAAGCATTAATATAAGCAAAATTACTTGAAAATTGCAGACTTGGTTTGATTGAGTCTGTACATAATAATTAAAAAAAATGACTTTGTTTGTCAGGGAAGTCATTAAGAAGGAAAGCTTGACTACTAACCTACTCACTCTTTAGATAACTAAAAAAGTAGGATGGGGACCCTACCATTTGCGCTAGCGTAAATTTTCCTTCTTTGCCTTAATATGGATTACACTAATCCCATAAACATCTATAACTTTAACATTAATATCATATGAAATTTTAAAATTACATATTTCTTGCACATCCTAGTACTAGTAAAATGGTATAATTTTTATGTACACAGAAGTAGAAAAGTCTGATGATGATATACTTGAAGATGAACCGGATCTACCAGACTCAGATGATGAAAGTGTAGAGGACTCTGATGAAGACCCCGGCTGGTCACCGTCCAAGGTAAACAGTTCTGTATGATATCATATAGTTTATTTTGATTTTATAATGGGAAGTCATCACTTTAGTGCAGTAATGGGTTAAGTAATAGAAAGAGCATCAAAACAAATCATTGGGCATGCTCTGGAGTGCAGGTAACTAATACCTGCACTCCAGCATGTATATGTATATGATTTAACTCTGTTACATTTTCAACGGAAAGGTCCCCAAACTATGATACACCTCCTATTAAAGTAAAATAATGAGTTAACCCATTACTACACTAAGGTGACAAAATGTCCTACTCATGTTGATGTTAATACAACACAATGTTACAGCTTTCCAACGGTTTTACACCTTCACTTATCATTAATCACTGAAAATATTCCAATATATCTCTTTTTGGACATAATTGTAGGTTACTGATCAAGATGCGAGGTCCAAAAGCTCTAACATGGACTTTAGCTGAATATAACCCCTATTGTTTAGTATTTTGTAATCTTCAACTTAAAAAAACTTAGGTGGTTGCTTTTATTTTTATAGTTAAGCAAAATTCCTGGTTAATGTTTTGCATGAAAGTTCTATATCCATAACCAATGGAAGTATGCACTTGAATATACACACATTTCTTTATATATTGGTCACATTCCAAGATCCATAAGTATAATTGAATTATTTGTCTTTATTTAAGTGAATTGGTCTATAATGGTAGGTCTGTATACAATACATGTATCTGTGAAATTTTTATGGAAAAGGATCCCATTGTAGACCAATCCACTTTAACATAAAAATTTCTTGATAATGTTTTGCATGCAAGTTCCATCTCCAATACTACTGTGAATGTGTTCACTTGAAATTCCACATACATTGTACCTTCTTGGTGTTTCAATTCGATCCATAGACAAGACCAATAACCTTTATATGGATTGTCACTGAATTATTCCTATTTTTGAACTGAGATAATTCCTACATGGTTCTTAATCTACAATCATGCACTGAAAACAGTTGAGCACCCTGTCTCTGTCGTAAAAATTGTCAAGGCAGCACTTCTAGTCATCATTACTTTTCATCTCTGTGTATTATACATATGGTACTTTGAAATGGAGAAATTATTTGAGAAATTTGTGACTTTATAGTGACAGCTTGTTTTATAAATGTGGAAGGAAACTTTCAAAGTTTTCCATGTACATTGGCCAGCCACTAGTCATTCATGGTTTGATAATGACCTATTGATCATTAAGAATGTACCTGCATTGAAAGTACTTCTTATATAAATGCACTTTTTCATTTTTAGAACAAGAAACAGACAGAAAAGAGACCTAAACAATTTAGACTGATAGGCAAACAGAAAACTGGACAAAAAACATCTCCTAAATCTAAACAAAAATCAGCACCTAAAACCAGGTAAAATGATGGGACTGGAAATAATCTTTTTGAGATTATTGTTCCATTGATGTTGTTCTAGACTGATAATTTGTGTGCAAAATTTCAGATCATTTGCTCACTTTGTTTTTCCTGAATAATTATTTTAATTAATTGTGAAACTGACTCAAAATTGTAAAGTGTTGCAACGTTTTTACTTAACATAGGTTATTCCTTTACTTTTCACCTTATCTTAGCATTCCTATTGCTTTAACAGCATTAGACCTTTCATAACTTGCCTGTTACTGCTGCTGGTGTAACTCTCTTAGTGAAGGTGAAGTCTTTTATTTTCATAAAGCTATTTAACTAGCAATCTCATTAAAATCAGATCATCATTTTTGCTTCGTTTGCCAGTTAGGATATGGTTTTAATGAGATTGTTTAGCTATATATATTTTACGACTCATTTGTGTTAGTGTTAACCCTTAGCCCCCCTTGTGGCTGAGGGGTTGCCTTTAAGTATCGAGGCATCAGAATTGCAGCCAATATTTATCCCTTAGTGATTGTCATAGGCAACTAAATGTGTTTTAATTACTGATGTCTATTCTCCCTTAGGTCCAGCAGGTGAGGTGGTTTTGATCCCTGGTTTTGCTTAAAGTTTGTAACACCGAGGTTAGTCAAAATCATCTCATAACAGTCTCCTATTTTGGTGCCATATGACCTTAATTATGTTGGCGTGCAGTAAAACCAAACTAACTAACCTTCAACCTGTTGGTGGGAACTGATTCTGTGCAACCAGTGCAGACCAAGATCAGTCTACAGTTTGCTATTTAGACTGTACATTTGTTAACATTTTCCAAAAAAGATGCATGGTTTTGTCAAGATTGAAAGATAGACAAATCTATTTAAGATTAATAATTAGGGTGGTATGAGTTACATAAAAATGGAGGTTAAATATTTTATTGACTCATAATTTTAGTCAAAAAAGTACGGCAACAGTATCACAGAAGAAGACCGCATCTCAAGTAAAGAAAACTGCAAGTACAGTATCAGACAAACCTGCAGCTACTAGTGGCAGTGCTGTACCTGCAAACAAACAAAATCGTAATGTTGTAATTACTGATAACAGCCCAACAGGTTTCTTGGTAAGATATTTATTATATTTTATATAGTTTATTTAGGGATTGATTTTTATCACACTTGTGACTCACATGGATTCATTCTTGTGAGGAAAGGGCAACTGAGGTGTACCTTGACTAGTAAAGCTGCAAAATGACCTTATGACCTTTATAGTGTCTGTGTGATTTAAACCAGGAAAAAAAACCCTAAAGATTATCTTATTATTAAAACAGTCATTGTTCATTTCCACTTTATGACATGCTTGTGGCAGGTTTTCTTTCAGGACTCGATTGAATTTAAGTTAGAGAATAGAGAGAGAGCTATCATACTCACCATGGGGCCGGCGTCTCCCTTTGGTTCAATTTTTGTGTGCATGTTGGTATCTCCAAAAGTACTGAAGAGAATGGGTTGAAACTTCACACACTTATTTAGTAGATAATAGGAGCTCACTTTAAAAGATCCATAGCTCTAAACATGGACTTTTCAGAAATATGGCCCATTTTGAATTTCTGAACTTAGAAAATTTTACATTATCCAGGCTCTTGTTTTACTACTAAGCACTGAAAATAGTTGAGCATGCTGTCCCACTGATTGATATCCCTTGTAAAAGAACATGATTCTAGTTGGTAGTTCTGTTAAAATATTTTTAAATGTATATTATTTTTGTGTATATGAGTTTATATGAATTTGAGATTATTTGTTTAGACAGTCTTGTTTTGTTTTCAACAGCCTGAAATTGGAGACTTTGTTCTGGAAAAAGAAGAATGTCAAGATGGAAACATACCATACTTGTGGCGTTACAAAAGAGGTGGTCTTATACAGAAGTATGAACGAATGGAAGAGGATGGAAAAGTCTTCTATCAAAATGTTCTTAGTGTAAGTAATTATGTCTTTGCTAAAGTAATTATGGTGTGAAAGATTGCAGTTACTGTGGAATGGATTTAGGTGGAAATATAGCCCTTGGTGGACTTACAAAATTCCTGATTAAAGTTTTGGTTTGAGGTATTCACTTGAACCTTTACACATCCCTTCTGGTTCATTGGATTGTGGATCAGTATCCAAGAGCCATAACTCTAGCATGGATTTTTTTTCTTCTGAATTATAGCCCTTTGTAAACTTAACATTTTTGATGATAATAGTTTTGCCTGCTGTATTTACTTCACAATTATATGTTGAAATTCAGACAGGTCTTCTAGATAATAATAATAGGTTAATTTCCTAACTTATTTTTCAAAACCTTTAATATAACAAAACTGCTATATTTATACACACCCAAAAATGTACAGAATTTTTTTTAACAATGCAGAGAAATTTAGCATCCATGTCCTTACTCCTATGGATATATTTTTATTGTTAATTTTTTTTTTCTGTTATATTTCAGTTTTCAGACTGGTGGGCTTGTTTTGCTCATAGATATCAGAAAGTTGAAACTCAGACGCTATATAGGTACAAAAATCTAGAGAAAGTAGAAATAACTAAACAGCCTGTTATTGAACCTGTGCCTGAAATGTAAGTTATTTATAGTTTTGGCAATAAGTAATACATGTACGTTACTTTGCTTTAAGATTGGGTTTTACGTTGCACTGACACAGCATAGGTTATATGGCTATGTTCCAGCTTAACTGGTGGAGGCAGTCCTTAGGTGCCTTTCTGTGCATTATTTTAGTCATGAACGTGCACCTGAGTAGAACCACTGATGTTTCGTAAGCTAGCTGGATAGCTTCCTCACATGAAAGTATCCTATATGTCCCTGTCAGCATTCTTATCCACAGCGGTACGGGGCAAGTGGTTTGAAGTCAACGACCTTAAATTGGCAATAAGTAATACATGAACATTACATCATATATTAGGCTAGCACCTTGTAAAGTTTTTGTGTAATTGTAAAGAATTCAACAATTCTGTCTTACTTGTTTTTATTTCAGTTTAGGAAATAAGCAACAACAAAAAATTTCAGAGATTAAAAAGTTTGACAATTCTGCTTTGGAATTGTCTTAGGGCATATAATAGAATTCAAAATCCTTTTCTTGCTGGCTTTTTGCATTGAACATAACCTTAGCTGTCTTTTTTACCTGCACCCATGACTTATGTCAGTGGCCAACCAGTTATACCATATTGGCTAGCCCATCAGCAGTATTTGTTTTGTCATTTTAATTTTTACCAGAAAGCAAAATCTTGATTTCATAATTTTTAGCGCATCAAGTCCAGCTGCTCCGAAAGGAAATTCTTCCCAAAGTACTGATAATAACAACAAAGAAACTACCAATAATAAAAATAAAACAACAGAAAGAATGCAGGAACAAGAGATTTCCTCTACTACTCAGGACACTGGTACAGATATCCCCGACAGAGCATTCCAGGTAAGATAACTCTAGAATCATCAATCAATACATGGTAGGAATTATCTCCCCTTTTAATTAAACAAAAGACATACATGTAATGGTCAATAACTTAATTATTCCAATAAATTCGTTTTTGTTAGATGAATTTGGTATAATTTCTATAAATTCATTTTATGGAAATAATTCAATATTCTTTTTGGATTCATATTCCTCTTTGTTTCAAAATCAGAAGTTTCATTTTAACCTCAACTGAGAACAAAGTGTGTTGTCACTTGTTTTACATAAACTGTAATAGTAAACATAAAAAAACCTCCTCCTCCAAAACTACAATGCCCAGGGTATAGTTATTTAGCATGTACCATCACTTTGTGGTCCTTAACAAAAGGTTTATAAAAATTATGCCCCTGGGGTAAAAAAAATGGCCATTCCCCTGGGGCCTGTTAATTTATGGAACTTAAATACACATTTAATAATTCTTTTATTGATTTTGCCTTGTGGATACAAAAATTATATAAATCATACTTACTGGGTGAAAAATGAAAAGCAAAAATTACCTACTTTTGCATTGAAAAATTATGAGGTGAATCTCAGGTGAGTGATTTCAGGCCATTATGGCTCTCTTGTTTGTATTTCAGATTGGTCAGTTTGTTCTAGACATGAAAGATAAGAGAAATGTTGACAATTTCCCAATTTGGAAAATAGAAAGCCAAATTCTACTGAAGAAATATGAGCCAGTGTTTAAAAATGGAAGAATGCGTCACAGGCCAGTGAAAACAGTGAGCACTTTTAACGTTATGATTTTTGACAGATTATGTGGTTGTCAGCATACAACCATTAATATACAGTCATATAATCTGTTAAAAATATCTTTAACAAATTGGTATTACCTTATAATTAAATTTGTTGATAGAAAATTAATAAAAATTTGAATCAGCTACCTGTAAATATATAGAAATATAAATGTTTAAGATTATCTAATGAAAAATTATGTAACAAATACATATATGTGTGTGGTATTTCTGTGTGATGAAATTTATATGATATTTCATTATAAATGTTATAATTATGATATAACAGCATGATGAAAATGATAATATTCAAATATCATAATTATTTCAGTGTTGTGGGTGAAATTATATTATTTCAGTATTAAATGACTATGTATATTATTTCAGTATAATATACAGTACAGACTCTAAAGAGTAACACCTTTTAAAGGCAACGATTTTGTTTGTTGCTCTGCAGAGTTGTTGCTTTTATTGGAGGTTAAATCTGTTGCGAAGTCTTAACGTTAGAAAATATAGAAACTGTTGCTGTAAAATAGTAGTTTAAATATTTCAGTTTGAGATTATTATGCCTTTTCAGTACAGCATAATTATACTATTTCAGTAAAAACTAATTATAATATTTCAGTATAATGATTTACTGTTATACTTACAGTCAGCTTCTTCATTATTTTTTTTCAAGGAATTTCATAAACTTAAATAGTATGATAGTCATAAAGCACCTTGATACATGTTTTCTAGATATTATGATTTGATCATTATTGGCAACATTTTTAGCTTGACTATTCGATAAGAATAAGAAGAGCTATTGCAGTCACCCGAGCGTCGGCGTCGGCGTAACCACTTATGTTAAAGTTTTTGTAATAGTTCAAATATTTTCAAAGTCCATTGACATATGGCTTTGAAACTTTGCACACTTGTTCACCATCATGACCCCAACCTGTAGACAGGAGGAGGTAACTCTATCAAGCATTTTGACAGAATTATGCCCCTTTTTCGACTTAGAATTTACGTTAAAGTTTTTGTAATAGTTCAAATATTTTCAAAGTCCATAGACATATGGCTTTGAAACTTTTCACACTTGTTCACCATCATGACCCCAACCTGTAGACAGGAGGAGGTAACTCTATCAAGCATTTTGACAGAATTATGCCCCTGTTTCGACTTAGAATTTACGTTAAAGTTTTTGTAATAGTTCAAATATTTTCAAAGTCCATTGACATATGGCTTTGAAACTTTGCACACTTGTTCAACATCATGACCCCAACCTGTAAACAGGAGGAGGTAACTCTATCAAGCATTTTGACAGAATTATGCCTCTTTTTCGACTTAGAATTTACGTTAAAGTTTTTGTGATAGCTCAAATATTTTCAAAGTCCATTGACATATGGCTTTGTAACTTTGCACACTTGTTCACCATCATAACCCCAACCTGTAAACAGGAGGAGGTAACTGTATCAAGCATTTTTTTTACTATCAAGCACTAAGAATAGTCGAGCGTTGCTGTCCTACCGACAGCTCTTGTAGTATGAGATAATTATACTTTTTCAAGATAATACATATATATATATATATACTTTTTCAGTATGGCATAATTATACTATTTCGGTAAAAAATAATTATAATATTTTAGTATAAGATCATTATAATATTTCAGTATGAGATAATTCTGCTATTTCAGTATGAGATAATTATACTGTTTCAGTATGAGATAATTATACTATTTCAGTATGAGATAATTATACTATTTCAGTGTGAGATAATTATACTATTTCAGTATAGGGGATATAAAGATATCAGCAAGCATTATCTGAGTATAACAGTAAATCGTTGTATGAATGAACCTGGTGAAGAACATGTGGAGGTTACCGAGGATACGAAACCAAAAATTACACTCACTTCTACGTAAGTACATGTATAATCTTATTTACTATATGCACACAAAGGGCATTTGTATTGTTAAGTGTAAGATCAAAATATATATTATAAGCTATTCAAATTCTGTCAATAATAGTTCTAGTACAGTGATATTGTATTTTGATAGGGATTTGGGGGGGGGGACTCAAGCTTTGATTAGTGTATGCCATTGACTGGGCAATTTTGGCTGTGCACAACTTTTAATTAATTTTATCATGGGATTTCATAAATTTTTATAAAATGAATGCCATTAAGTGCCTTGAGACATGTTTTCTGGATGAAATTTTAGTGATTTCATCATTATTGGCAAAATTACAGTCTTTTGTTGTTGTTATTTTTCTTTACATAATTATGCAATATTAGAGAAAATCTGGTTTTGTGACAATTTCATATTAAATATAAGAGGCAAAACATGCCTTTATGACAATATTATGCTAAATATTAGTGGAAAGACCATGTTATAATGACAATTTCATACAAACTATTAGCAGAAATCCTGATTTTATGACAATTTAGTGCTAAATGATATTAAAGGGAGGAAAACCTGATTTTATGACAATTTAGTGCTAAATGATATTAAAGGGAGGAAAACCTGATTTTATGACAATATTATGCTAAATATTTCTGGAGAGGCCATGTTATAGTGATAATTTCATACAAACTATTAGCAGAAATACTGATTTTATGACAATTTAGTGCTAAATGATATTAAAGGGAGGAAAACCTGATTTTATGACAATATTATGGTAAATATTAGACAGAAAACTTGGTTTTATGACAACATCATGCTTAATATTAGACCTTGTCTTATGACAGTATTATGCAAAATATTAGAGGCAAAATCAAGTTTTATGACAATTTCACACTAACTGTAATATGGAAAACCTTGTTTTATAACACTTTCATACTAAATACCAGAATTAAGGTAAAAAGCTAGTTTTATGGCAATATCATAGTATATGTTTTAGTTAATTTTCTGTATTATTTTACAGTATGGAGGAGGAATATGAGAAGAATCCATTGTTACGTCATTTCTATGTTTACATGCAAGTGTTCTTAAGTCAAGCATTAGAGCCAGGATTCCTGGATGAAGTCAGAAAAACAAATGGTATGTATGGGTAAAATGTAAAGGAAAATATATGATGAAATACCAGAAATTTGGAGTTTTCATACAGTTTGATTTGTTTTCAAAAGAATTCTTAGATTGTAAACAATTTAAAAAAAAAAGCACAAGAACAAAAATGTAACATCTATATGATATTATCTTCTTTATTGTAGTTCAATGTATGCTAAATCATTGTAAATGTTGTTAGATTGTTATGCCCCCTGTACTTTGGCAGGGAGGGCATAAAGTTATGTCCTTTTAAGCACTTCATAAAGATGGTTGATAAATGCTTGACTGCTGTTATAAAGTGGCTTTTCTGACAAATCTCCATTGTTCATATTCACTAGATCAAATGTTATATATAGAGCCAAACTTTTAATGTGTTTGCTTTATCTCTCTTGCTAGATCCTACATACATATTTCCTCTGGGAGAGATAGATAAAATAGTTGACCAAAAAACTGTAAATATTGAGAGAAAAGTGAAGTGGACAAATAGAGTAAAGGTAAGTAACTCCTCATGAAGTTTTGGGATGGATTTGGTGGGGTGTAATTTATCCTTTTTTTAGGAGAGATTTAACCTTTTACCCCATGAGCATATTGCGAAAAATGGCCTTTTTCATTGAAAAGCCTCCTGTAACAAGTTCAAACTGCTATGAAACTATGAAAAATGCTTCAATACTGATGAAACTTGGCACAAATTTGTCTAGACCATAGCCTCTGTAACAGCATGCTCAATCGTAAATGTCCTGTTACCATGGCAACGGGAGGACGTCTCAAAATTGCCAAAAATCACTATTTTGCATTGTTTTTTTCCATCAAAACTGATTTCAAATTGCTGCAACTTCTCAATGAATTGAGATAGAGTAAAAGGCTTTTCAGCGTTGGTTTCTAGTTACCCTAAGATCAACCTGAGGCCATTTTTAGCCTGTTACATGTCCAAAATTTTCTTGGCGATGAGAGGGACTATCGCCTCCCTTCAAACCCCCCAAACAGAAGGGGGCACATCACCCTTCTGGCAACCCCCTGATGTAACATTTGGATGGGGGTGGCGCAAAAGAGTGGTCACTTTTTTTAACTATTGGTCAATGGTCAATTTAAAAGATCTCTACACTCATATTATTGTTATGTTTACAGGATGCTTTGAAGAAATGTCCGTATCTTAGAGAAGTAAACAAACCAGATGATAAAAGAAAGTGCGAGGTTGGTATATCTAGATATTGGTAAAATACAATTAAGATAGAGCTTGAGACAGGTGTTCTATACTTCTGCATTTGTTCCCCATTTCAAGTTGAGTCATACCTTTACCGATAAAGAGTTATCTTAAAAGACTTTAGTATACAGTAAAAGTCACTGAAGCACAAAAACACTTGCTCGCATGGCTGTGGGTTTGAACCTTTGAAAGTCATAACTATTCTTTCATATGAGTACACTATCTAGCTAGCAAACAGAAGGTTGGTAGTTGTACACAGGTGCCTTCTTGTGCTTAAAGTAATTAGGATTTTATATTAGACATGGGCAAATTATTTGAAAAAGCTGGGACCAAAACTATTTTTATCAACGTCAGACAGTGCAGTAAATGTAGTGCGGGGAACTAATACCTGCACTCCAGTTAATGCACTGTACATGTATGGGTATACATCTTATCAATATTTTCAGTAGAAAGGTCTCCAAATTATGATACAATAAATTTGTTATTTTTGGTCTTAGGAAAAAATAAAAACCATCTTCTTGCAGCTTAGTTTGATAGTTTTTATTTCCTGTTATGCTTGTCTTTACCCTTAACCTGCTGAATTTCTAAAATGGATTTCTAAAACAAAAGTCAATCACATTTTTTTGGCAGGAGCGGAGGTCTTTTATTTAGAGATTTGAAATAATTATATGTTAAATAATATATATAGTAAATATTTATATATTGACATTGTTACATTATTTATATATATTGACAGGCTTTAGCTCACAGTGATGAACTAGTGGAGGAGTCAGTGTTTCTGTTTGGATCAGATTATGATAAAGATACATTAAAACACTCAGGAAATAGTCATCCATGTCAGGTAATTAGTTCTTCCCATTATTCAATATCTATTATTTACATTCAGTAGCTGCTTCTTATTTCTATAATGTTCAACTGTCAACAGTGTATTGACCACTGTCTATCCAACTAGCTTAATGATCGTTGGTCCTTTCATGCCTGAAATAATGCACTGGAAGGGCACCTTAGGTCTTCCTCCATTAGTAAAGCTGGAAAGTCATCAAATGTCCTTTTCAGTATTGGTGAGACACAAAACCAAACTCAACAATGCATGCAGCCCCCCCCCCCCCCCCCCCCCCCCCCCCCCCCCCCCCCCTCAAAAAAGGATCAGTGTCTAATATTATATATCCTGTCTAAGATGATTAAGTATGACCTGTCAAAATTTAAATGTTAGATTGCTCAAAATACATGTAATTTGGATATGAAATAAATAGGTCATATAATAAATTAACCTACAAAGGTCTGTAAAATACAGGATACTTTCATTTTACTTTGAGCTTAATATATAAGATTTTAATGTTAATGGGGGAAAAAGTCCGAGTATATAGGCTTATGTTTCATTATTTGAAAAAGTACAAAGTAATTATAAAGTTGAACTTTGTTTTATTTTCAGGAATTTAAGATAGGAAAGACAGCTGTGAAACATATGAGTACATATCATCAGCTGTGTCACTTCAAATATAACCTCTATGATAAATGTTTAGCAAAGGTAACTAATTCAATAACATCATATATTCTTACATGTTGTCAATGATTTATGTAAATAAAAATTCCTGAACTTTCATGAGAAATATAAAAAAATAATAAGATGTTAGGAATTATATCTATTTTCCATGTTTGTGATAAACTTATGGTTACTGTTTTGGATTTTTTTCCACTGTAGCATATTTTAGAAATATATTTTAAACTCCCCTTTTCAAAGAAAAGCTGAGCTATTGTCATAACCTACTCAGCAACATCGACATTTTTTAAATCTTTATGGTTAAACTTTTTGGTTGTAGTTTTGTTAATAGTCATTAAGTTAAATACGAACAGCATTATACCGGTTTACCAAGCAGCAATGAGAAAAATAAAGCATGCATTGCTGCTCCTCGGAACAGTCATGGTGAAGTTTTAAATTAATAATCAATATTCATAAAGTTTGGCTAAAAAAAACCCCTAACTCAACCTAATTTGATATAATTGCCAAATATATTCATGAAATATTTATGTTTTTTTGGTGACCATTTTTTAGATCAAATTGATTCGTGACAGTAAAGAAGGTGGTGTGGAAGTGGAGAAGATAATGGATGAATGTCTGGGTAATAAAGCATGGGTCATTCAGGTAAATATCTAATCTTTGTGTAAGAAACACAACATCTTTTAATATTGTTTATTGCTCTATATGTTACAAATTCATTGAACCATGTTTTCTCGTAGAAAGCAGACTTGAAAGTTGTTTTAGCTAGCTAGATAGCTTTCCGACATGAAAGTTCCAGTGGGATTCAAACCCGCAACAGTGGGGCAGGGAGCAAGTGGTTTGATTTCAACACAATTACTCTGTCATAAACGTCTGTACAATCAGTAATGTTTTGTTTGTTTTTGAGTAGCGAATGTCTTTCCAATGAACTGGATCAAACATAGCCAAACAAAAATTGCATTCATGTGGCTAACAGGTTTTAAGTTTGCATCACATGCAGGGCAGAAATTGTTTCAGATGCATTAGCCTATTTGTGTAATTAATTTAAAATGTTTGTAAGTAAGTAAATATAAATATTTGAAATTTTGATTGCTGTTTATTTAAAAAAAAAACTTGTAATTTTTGTATATTTCAGAACTTTGAGGATTTTATGACACTGGTGGAGATGACGTGACTTTAGCGACGTCACCAAAAGTCAAACTTGCTTCCAACGTAACTCATGACATATACTTAATACACACATTACAATGTACATGTACTTACACAGGGATATTATGTCAGTAGTGTAACTGTAGATATAGTTAACACATCTATCTATACATGTGTATGCACGTGTAAAGTATAAACATGTGCATAAGGTCATTAAACGATGTGACTGTATTGCTTACATATCATTTTTGATATTTTAGTGTAAATTTTGTGCTCAAATGTGTATAGCTGGATATGTGAACCAGCTATCTTATCTGTCTACTTATCTACTTGGATCTTATTCAGAATATTGTTTTATCAGCTTGGTTTCCAAGAAAAAGTCAAGCTATTAATATTGCTGCATTGTTGATGTTGTCATGCAAAAACTTTTATGAAGCCCATTATTCAAACAGCCAGAATACTGAGCAAACTGACTGATCTTTTCCCTACTAGTAAATCCACTAAGATTTTTTTCATTAAATTTTAACCATCAAAAAGATGTATTTTTAGAAATTAAATATATAACAATGCATTTCAGTTTGAAATTGTAACTCTGAATGTCTTTGAATATAGATTTCAGATTTGAACAGAGAGTGATCTACCTGCCCTTTGTGTTCAACATCATATTCTATAATTATATAGACCGGATTTATGTTTTAATTGAAATTTTTTACATGTTTTTTGGCCAAAAGTATGGTTCCTCTGTTAATATACCTGATTTATGTACACATGTATTAATTCTGAGACTTTGCTATTATAAGCAGAATGACTGATGATTGATAACTAAGATAGATGAGGATATAAAAGTTGGAAAGAAGCAGATAGCTTTCAGAAGTGGCGTTTTTTTTTGGCAAAAGTCTTGGAGAATTTGTTTTGACTATTTCTTTTTACATGTGTAATTGCTCTAATTATGACATTTGTTTTATTTATGCATGTCTTAATAATGTCATTGTTTTTTATGCTCGTTAACTGTTTTCGGATTTTACTCTTTAAAACAATGTCATTGAAAACTGAGGTATGTTTGTTAATATATATGTTCATTGTTTTTACCGCGTCAACATGAGTCATTGAAATTATTGGTAATGTCGTGTATTTAGTATTTTACTCAATCAATGTATTTGTATTTATCATACTTGTCATATAGTTTACTCGATAATGTTCAATTCATGTTTTACTATAAATGTTATTGTTTTATCATGCTGTCAATTCCATTAAAAGGGTTTTTACTCATAATCATAATTTCATCATAATTTACTCATAATGTCATTGTATTTGTCTCATAATGTCATTGTATTTTACTCATTATCATAACATCATCATATTTTACTTATTATGTCATTGTATTTTACTCATAATGTCATTGTATATAGGATGCCATTGCATTAAGTTCATAATATTCATTGTATTTTGACCCATGTCATTGCATTATTAAATATGTTTCTCTTTTCTTTTGTCACATTCTGACATATAAACCCATTCTCAATGACAAAAAAAACCCCTACTTTTTTCCTAAAACGGTGCTAAGAAATGCCAAATAGCTAAAACATCATTACCTGGGTGATTTTCTTGTCGTTATATTTACCTAATTCCATGACACAAAAAGTCCAAATTGGGCATGTCTGGATACATATGCAAAGGGTGAGAGAGAAAAAACATGTCTATGCATATAAGTTGATTGCTTCATTGTATTGTACTTTGCTGGTATTTTTGCTGCTGTTTAACTTTAATTTTGATAATGATGGCATTATTCTCAACTTGACACATGTATATTTGTATAATGGTACTTTCTTCAAGGTCTGATATTAACTTCTTCATTTAGCTTTCTGATGTAAAATTATTTGGTGCCTCCATGCTTTTTATATTTTTTTGTCTTATATTTTTAGATAATTTTGTAAAAACATCTGCTTTTGTAACAAATATTTTTGTGTATTTTATTTGTCATGGAAGACTGTTTCAGAAACAGCATTGTAATGATTTCAGGTCAATTAAGCACACAGTATTAGTGTTACAAGTAACTATGCCATCTGTCCATACTTTTGTTTGACTCGCTTTATGCCAACTGTGTCCACACTTCTCCAAGTTACTTCATGCCAAATGTGTTCACACTTCTTCACCACACTTTATGCCATCTGTGTCCACACTACTCCAACTCACTTTATGACATCTGTATCCACACTACTCCAACTCACTTCATTCCATCTGTGTCCACACTTCTCCAACTCACTTTATGCCATCTGTGTCCACACTACTCCAACTCACTTTATGACATCTGTGTCAACACTACTCCAACTCTATGACATCTGTATCCACACTTCTCCAACTCACTTCATGCCATCTGTGTCCACACTACTCTAACTCACTTCATGCCAACTGTGTCCACACAACTCCAACTCACTTCATGCCATCTGTGTCCACACTACTCTAACTCACTTTATGCCATCTGTGTCCACACCTCTAACTCACTTCATGCCAACTGTGTCCACATTACTCCAACTAAGTTCATGCCATCTGTGTCCACACTTCTTCACCACACTTTTTCCATTTGTCCACACTTACTCAGCCATTCATTCCACTATTTAGTTGGACCAGATTGTATACATATTTGTTCGACTGTTTAAATTTTGCCTTTTGACACTGAAATGCATTAATCTACAAATGGATTATTCCAGTTTACTAATTTACTAATAGAATCTTCTGAATCAAATTTTGGGCAAGTGTTTACAAAGAGGATATTGAATGAGTAGGTTTAATACTAAATTTATTGAACGAGTTGAATAAAATCCTATTATGCGAGCCTCTGGCGAGCATAATATTGTTTTATTCAACGAGTTCAATTTAAGTATTGAATCTACATGAGTATAATATTCTATTTATCACATATATAATATAAGAATGGTAAACTGTTAACAAGAGAGTCATTTTTATTTGACACGCCTATAGTGTAACGCTAACATTAGCTCGCTTTAATGCTATATTTATAGCGCAAATGACGTCACGTCAAAGTATTATTACACTAGTGTAATATCGTTTAGTGTAATATCATTTTTTATACGCCCGTTTGAAAAACGGGACGTATTATGGGAACGCCCCTGGCGGGCGGCGGGCGGTCGGGCGGCGGGCGGGCAGCGTCCAATTTTGTCCGGAGCATATCTCCTACATGTATGGAGGGATTTTAATGAAACTTCATATAAATGTTCACCACTATGAGGAGCAGTGTCGCGCACATGAACCAGGTCTCTAGGTCAAGGTCAAGGTCACACTTAGAGCTCATTGAAAAAAATGCTTGTCCGGAGCAAAACTTCCACATGTATAGAGGGATTTCAATATTACTTGGCACAAATGTTCACCATTGTGAGGCGGAGTGTCGCGTGCAAGATTCAGGTCCTTGCGGCCAAGGTCAAGGTCACACATAGAGGTCAAAGTTCAGATAAAAATATGAAGATGTGTATATGGACCCATTTAGTCATCATTAATTGAGGGATTGTAACACAAATGGTCATTATCAAGACTATGGCTGTGATACATATAATTTAGGTCAATATATACAAGGTCAAGGTCACTAAAGATGATGAAATATCCAGATTTTGTAAATAGAATTTAATCAAAGGGAGACAACAAAGTTATTACTTTGTTCATAAATGACTTACACAATTACTCCCCTTGATCTAAAAATAGAATTTAATCAAAGGCATGAAATAATCCTCTTTCTTGGACTTGAGTATGTTGTAAAGAATGTAACATTTATTTACACATGTTTCATTCATTGGTCAAGATTCTTAACTGTGATATAACTATGGTGTTCTGTAGACTTGGTATTTGTTCATAAAGATCATACAGTAATTACCTTATCAAATGTAAATACTTTTCTCATAGAAATTTAATTATATTTTAATTTTCAAGTAAATATCAGTTCAGCTCATTCAAAGATTAAGAATTGTAATGAAAATGTATTTCCCTAGAAATTAAAATCTTAAATCAGAATTTTTTAGTTATTAAATTACATGTACTTTTTATACGCCCGTTTAAAAAAAAGATAAAAATATGAAGATGTGTATAGGGACGATTTAATCATCATTTATTGAGGGATTGTAACACAAATGGTCATTATAATGACTACGGCTGTGACACATGTACTTTTAGGTCAATATATGCAAGGTCAAGGTCACTAAAGATGGTGAAATATCCAGATTTTGTCTGGAGCATATCTCATACATGTTTGGAAGAAATTTTTATAATACTTTATGGAAATGTTCACCACCATGATATGTATTGCTCCATGCATGATCCAGGTCTCCAGGTCAAAGGTCAAGGTCACACTTAGAGCTCATTGAAAAACGCTTGTCCGGAGCAAAAACTTCTACATTCATAGGGGTTTTCAATATAACTTGGCACAAATGTTCACCATTGTGAGGCTGAGTGTCGCATGCAAAATTCAGATCCTGCGACCAAAGTCAAGGTTACACTTAGAGGTCAAAGTTCAGATAAAAATTTAAAGATGGTTATAGGGACCATTGAGTCATCATTTATTGATGGATTGTAGCACAAATGGTAACTATCATGACTACAGGTGTTACACATTTAATTTAGGTTAATATTTGCAAGGTCAAGGTCACTGGAGATGATTAAATATCCAGATGTTGTCCGGAGCATATTTTCTACATGCATGGAGGAATTTTAATGTTACTTTTATAGAATTGTTCACCACCATGAGACGTAGTGCCCTGCACATAAACCAAGTCTCTAGGTCAAAGGTGAAGGTCACAGTTAGAGCTCATAGAAAAACACTTGTCTGGAGCAAAACTTCTACATGCATAGAGGGATTTCAATATAATTTGGCACAAATGTTCATCATTGTGAGGCTGAGTGCCGTGCATAAAATTCAGGTCCCTGCAACCAAGGTCAAGGTCACACATTCTGTGCATATCTTCCCTATTGATTTGTTTTAAGTTTCATTTAACAACACAGTGCAAAGAATAAAAACTTGCTTGCTAGATAACACTTATCCATAATGCCCCCATCTCCATCTAAAGCTTTTTCGTAAACGGGCGTATTTTGTGACTATGGCACCCTTGTTATAAATGGCTTTATTGCACTCCTGCAACACGGTTAATGTGATAAACTAATTTAACAGGGTATGGGTTTAACACTCTTATTATGGGCAGCAGTTGTTTAGCCGGTTAAATGTTTGCCTCGCAACCTAGTGATTGTGGATTTCTGCTCTTCCTGTGTCAACACCATGCTTCCTCATATGACACCAGTACTGTTTAGTTACACAAATCAGACTTGAAATTGGTTGGAATAAGGTTCAAGCTTTCTTTATAACCTAGCTAAAATAAATGTTTCAGTTAAATTACATCCTTGTAAGATAATAGGTTTGTTCTATCATTGTAGTAACAGTATTTTTACTTCTGTCCCTCATCTACCCCGTCAATGCTGTAGTTTATACTAACAAACTGCATAGGAATATTCATTATTCGTGATTGTTACATACCATTTAAAGCTTCTTTTATTTTTTAGCTCGACTATTCGATAAGAATAAGTAGAGCTATTGTTGTCACCCGAGCGTCGGCGTTGGTGTCTGCGTCGGCGTAACCACTTATGTTAAAGTTTTTGTAATAGTTCAAATATTTTCAAAGTCCATTGACATATGGCTTTGAAACTTGGCACACTTGTTCACCATCATGACCCCAACCTGTAGACAGGAGGAGGTAACTGTATCAAGCATTTTGACAGAATTATGCCCCTTTTTCGACTTAGAATTTACGTTAAAGTTTTTGTAATAGTTCAAATATTTTCAAAGTCCATTGACATATGGCTTTGAAACTTTGCACACTTGTTCACCATCATGACCCCAACCTGTAGACAGGAGGAGGTAACTGTATCAAGAATTTTGACAGAATTATGCCCCTTTTTCGACTTAGAATTTACGTTAAAGTTTTTGTAATAGTTCAAATATTTTCAAAGTCCATTGACATATGGCTTTGAAACTTTGCACACTTGTTCACCATCATTACCCCGACCTGTAAACAGGAGGAGGTAATTGTATCAAGCATTTTTTTTTACTATCAAGCACTAAGAATAGTCGAGCGTTGCTGTCCTACCGACAGCTCTTGTTTAAAAATATTCTTTCAAAGAGGTTGCTGTAAAATTTCAAAAACCAACAGTCATATTTTCTTTGTGTTTACTCAGTTTGTTCACATATGACAGTCTTTCAAATAGATAGAACCTGTTACCCTGCAGAAGAAAACAGATAAAGTCCCATCTTGATTTGTTTTAGTGTATTTGAGATTCAAATCAAGCTTCTGTTGTGATATACATGTACACATATTGTGTACAGTCATTTGTAATAGTTTCTCAAATTTTGTATTATTTTATAAAGTTACAGTAGATTTTGATAATCTTTTTGCTATCTTTTTTTCCTTTTTCCATGGTCATTTTTTTACTATTTTGTCTTCTCTTTCCACAATCATGGTTTTATTAAATCAAAGTAAATTTGTCTGAGTAATTTTAGAGAGAATTATTTGTATGAAATTGTATTCATAATACAACATTTATGTTTACTACATGTGTTTTTTTTTAAACTGTAATAGATCGTTTTAAAGCTAGTAGAGAAATTGATTTTTTTATTGTTTCAACAATTACATTATTTGAGACTGTCAGCTTTTCTTGGGAGGAGGGGGGAGTTAAAAATAAGTTCTGACTGAACAGCAAACAGTGCAGACCATACTGATGTGCTTTATGATCAGGGTCTGCACTCGTCATATAGGTATATTTTTGTAGCAGCAAGCAGACTACGGGTTAAATCATTTGTAGACAATTATCATATAGGCAGCCATTTTTTGTGACGATAGCTTATGAGCAAATAGGTAGTCATTGGAATAAATTTCATGAAAACTAAAAAAAAATCACTCAAATTATTTTGTGATTGATGACCTTATGTGCAAGTTGTTTCCGTGGTTACAATGTTTACACTTTTGAACATTCCAGTTAGATCAGTTAATATGGCAGGTAAATACATTGTGTTTTTATGCCAGTATATTAGTGCTATGTAAACAGTGTATAGTGCTGGAGATTTTAAAGATATACATGTACTATGCTCATCCTTGAGTAAAATATTTTAATCACAGAAATTTATTGAAATACATGTATGAAATTCTTACTGAATATGTACAATTTGAATAAAAGAATGAGTAAACTATGCATGGGAAGCTGCATTCCCTATAACAGGTCAAGCAAAGTTGGTACTATTTAAAAAAAAAAAAACCTGCCATTTTTTTTAAATAACAATATATTCATATTCATCTTTTCCACTTATAGTGTGTTGAGATTTAAACACAACATATCTAGTTTGTGTGAAGTCAAAACATGTTTATTATATGTTTACATAGAGACTGTGTAGCAGTAATCAATATTTTTTAATATCAAATTTGAGCATAGTATATCTTTAACAAAGTAAACAGCATTATTGCCAGATTCAGTTTTCTTTCCAACCATTTAGATTATTATAGTGGTTTCTTGTTTGATGCCAGATTAAAGCAGATTTTTAAATCGAAATGCTCACCCATATAATTGTTTTGTGAGAAGCACCTGGCTAAAAAAATTTTATTTTATTATTTCTGGTTTTTAAAATTTGGATCAGAACATTTTTTGATAATTATTGACATGTACCATACTGGTAAGACAACATGGTTATGCTTTATTTTCAAGGGCAGGCTTTTATTATTACATTGTAAAGCATACAGATGACTAAACAAGGGAGACAATCTGTTTTATGTTGTGTTTATGTAAAATCTAAAGTTGCCTTATTTGTTGTTTATGCACAAGTCAATTGTAGTCTAGGCCCTCCGACCAACGGGGAATGGAGTGTACTCTAACTTATGGGTTTTCAAACCCAGTCCGGGACCATCAGTTGGTAAATTTTCCACCAAATACCCCTGCAATGCAAGTTAGAAATTCTGGCTATTTTGGTGCCTAAACAAAACTACACATTGCCCTGGTAGTGCAGGGACATATTGAAATGAATCCTCAGCTTATTTTCCCCACCCTTCCCTAGGGGTGAGGGGGTCAGATCGTGTAACAATTGATTAGTGCATGTTTAAATGCTAAAATCATTACTGCGTGTAGTTTAGTCATAGCCATTATTTTTGTAGCTTCAGAAATGTCATTTTCATGGTTTATAAATTTGTCTTCTTGTTTTTTTGGTTTTTACTGTGAAGACTTTTTAAGTCTACACAGGTGATTATTAGAAATGTTTTTTTAAATCTTTGCAATAAAGTTTATGAAATATTTGAGATGTATATTTTGATTATTTTATCTGTGTATGTCTAGTGATGGCACTGGCATTAAGTAATGTTTGAAAGTCCCACCTGATATTTTTCTTTGATGTCTGGCATTAGGTCCGATGTTCATTTGTTTCTCGTTCTCGCTGCTGATTTAGAAATCATGTGAGACTAAAAGCAACTTTGCGTAGAAATAGTTAATTATGGTTAGTTATCCTAGAAAGACAGTTAGGTAGAATGACCGGCGGGATATGGCCAAAAATATGTTAAAATTGACATAAAAACAAGCAAACCCTCTCCAATCACTTACTACAATGCCACAATCTATGTCACGTGATCAGATGTTGTGATCAGATGTTGCCTTACGTTTTGCAATGATACAGTCTACATCATTCACAACCATTAATATGCAGAATATTTTATTTGTTCCTTAAGAGAAATTAAGACATTGTATAGAATGTATTTATGAAAAAGACAAAGAGTGTTTCTGATAGGACACGGCCATTATCATGCACATGTTTAATTACAATAAAAACCATATATATACTGTACAAAACAAGATTTTTTACCAATAATTAATTACTAGAATATGATCCAATCTTATTTTAATATGAAAGCTGTTTTTACAAAATGTAGATCTTACTAGTAAGGCCCCTGGCATCAAAATTGGCCATATTGTGGCCACTTCACTTAGTTTACATAGACTTGTATAGGAAAACATAAACAGCAGTGTTATGTCATAGAGCTTAGATAATTGGCAGGAAGTATTGCATTGTTGACCTCTACAAATGTTATATAAATCGTGCTGTTATGGTAAAAAATTGCTCTGCGGCAATGTGTCCCAATTACCTACTTCTGCATTGAAAAATTATGTCCTCCTCTAGCAATGGATATCGGGAAAGCAATCAATGGTCACCGTGACCTTGTTTTCCTGTTCTGATACATTGTAGTTTTGAATGCAATCAAAGAAGCCTTCCAAGCAAGTATCAGGTTCGTCATGATCGTACCTATAAACTTTCTTGGAAATGGAAGATATCGGGAGACACCCCGCGTATACCTAGGAGACAGGGAGTAGACTCGTTATCCCCTCGCACGTCTCCCCAAGTAGACCCATTTTCTTGAATATAATTACACAATGGCCGAAAACTTTAATATAACTTGTTTTGAAAAAAAAACAATCGTTCATTTTTGGTATTCTATTACAGTTTCCAAAAAGTTACTGATTGCCCATATAGCTATGAATACAGTTTGTCTTAGTTAAGTTAGACATGTACAACTGTATGTCTGAATATAATAATGTTTTCTCTGTAACAGAGCTCTACCAAGGCACATTGAGGAGGCTTTTCATTTGACTAATTCTAAGGATAGAATAAAAACTTAAAAAAGAAATATACATGACTTTTTTAATCTGCACATCAAATTTTACAATATTTATATCTAAAATAAAAAAGTACACTAGATTTAGCAAAAGAAAAAAAAACAACATAATAATTCATGTATAATTAGAACTACTAAGCAGGATAATTTACGAAAGAAAATATCCCCCGTCAAGTCCGCGCCTCTTGAATGTTTGCCATCTGATTGGATCATCTTGTGGTTCGAACAAAAAATGCGCGGGAAACAAGAAATTCAGAAGCCAATAACGTCCGTAAACAGCACGTACTTTTCCGGACAGGTCTCGAGAATCATATATATCTATTTTGTTAACTATTTCAAAGGAAGTATTTCCAGTTGTTATCCATTTATATGCTTGAAATAATGAGAAAGTACTGAATATCAGGTAAACTAACAACATCCATCCTAGAATAATAAGAAACGCATCTCTATAGTGTACAAAGCCGAGTAATCCCCGCACAATAGTTACAGGGTAAAATAAATCGTAGTATTGAACTTTCGGCACCACAATAGAAAATCCATAAGGTATGGCATGCACGGATGCAAAAAATGTTGCAAGCACCGCATAAAACAAAAATGTTGAAAAGTAACGAAGATTTCTGTATCCTACACACGTTGCTGCCACGTAACAATGGTGGTCTCTTTTCAAAATACATTTCTTACACAAGATACAATGATGAGCACGGGGTGGATTGGGTCTGTTACACGTAATACATTGAGACCAAGTAAAATATGGCATCACTGATTTATCTATCCCTTCCAGCGTATTAGCTCTAGCATTGGTACCGTACTCAGGCTTGCATTCATTTTCCTGCAGGGACATTACATCTTTACGTTGTCTACTAAAATTAACGCTGCAGTTTTCCCTCCCGTCGTAGATTGGCATCCCTCTATCAAACAGAACCGGCGGGGCTCCGTATATAGCTGGATCGTACGTCGAGTCAACAAATGTTAAAAATAACCAATTAATAAACAACTCTGTGGCTAGAAAACATCCTAGACATTGAACAGCTGTGGTGACCCAGGGGTCGTAGTCACTGTACAAATATGGTATTGCCCGAAACACTCCCCATCCGGCAATGCCGACAAGAGCAAATATGTAGCTAACTGGTGCTATGCGATTTAAAATCCCCGGATCCGTAGCAACGTGAACGAATCCTTGTAATATTCTCTTCGGTAAACGCAAACATGTCTTCATTGTTACTCGTTATAAACTGAAAATATAATGGAAAATGAATTAAAGATTACGGATTGTTGAACATCTGACAAACAATGTTTCTTTTTAAATTAATTAAATAGTTACACAGGTAACTAATAGCTGTCTTTTTCTGTGCCACTCTTATTATTTACGTCACCATGATAAAAAATTTGTAGATTAAACTTTAAAAAATGTAAATTTAGTACAATTTGAAGATTTATTTAACATTTTTGCACTCTTAGGTGTGGTACTCCACCCTACAGAAAGAGAAAAACATTATTATTTTATTTTCGTAAACCTTAACACTGAAGCGTATATTAAAGAAAATCGAATTTCAGCTTGTAAAAATACATACTAACCTCACAGCACTAAAATAAGGAAACAATGTCAGTGCAATCAATTAACTTTATTTCTATATTAAATTTAAGTGTTTCTACGCGTGAAAAAGGTAAGTGGTGCCAGGTTCTTTCAAATACATGTCCATGCATATGGTTTTATTACCATTCACCATTTTTGCAATGCTAAATTCCCATAGACCAATGGGAGTTACTCTTACTGTTAATTCAAGTAAGAAAATTGTAATTATTTCACAGTAAAAAATAAAAATAAGCCCCTATAGAAACACTGTCTCAATGAAGTATTTGTTCGGTGTAATAAAATAAATAACTCATAGGTTTGTGCGTAACAGCAAAAATATCATCCCTCGTAAAAATACTGTTACCCGAGGCGTATTCTCCTTGGGATGGTATTTTTGCATGGCGAAAAACGCAACCTTGCGAAATACAGCCATTATTGAATACAAGCGTACGCATTTCAGGGCAGTGATTTGAATTGATTACCTCAACAATATTGATCAATTCTTTTCATGTTGATTCTAGTTCTTTACAGTGAAAAGTTATATATCAAACTGTATTTAAGTGAAGCGATTTTACTTCATAATCAATTCAATATCTTGAAGAAAAAAATCGTCATTGAGAACAGAAACTAGGGCAATACAGTATGACAAATACGGAGTATATTAATTAACAAAACTATACTGTAGTGTAGACTATTAGTATGTTTAGCCAAAACTGGAATTCAGAAAACATACCTCAGCATTATATTTGTTAATCCATTTCGTTGAAGATCACTACAAGTGCCATTCGTATATAAATATTTGCATAACTTTAACAGAATATTTAAACGAATCAGTTCAATCACTGTTTATAGTGTGATACGCGAATTTAGAACAGAAACGGAAACCACGTGCAGTACATAATTTATGACTACATCTTTCATGCGATATTTTTCTGGAGGAATCAATTAAATAAGACATTGAATTTGTATGTGTACAACGAATATTTATTGGCAATATTGCAACAGCGCACAATTTGTATATAAATTAATTAAATATTACTTTATCTCCTAATAGAGTGTATAAAGGTGTATTCTTTGAACACATATGTGAAAAGCATAACACTAGTATCTTTAGGAAGCAAATTTTGTTTTCTAATCGAGTCAACACGTCTTCTCTTTTTTAACTTAGTTTAACACTCCATTTTCTTTTGATATGATTGTTAGCGCGTTTGTATTCATGACGGTTATTGTCTACGCCTTTATATACGGCCATTTTACTGGATCGTCGACAGGCTCGAACACATAATGTAACGGGATAATAAAGTTTAATATCCAGTAATTTCCGAACACAGATCTTAATTTACCAAATATTCCCCTTGTGTCAGTTAATTCCATTTTGTATCCATTTTCAAATGTTGTTTTTCCAGTATTTATTAATTCCGCAACTACTTGAAGAAAAGAAATCGCCCACATCAAAAATGCTAACAGAATCCAGCCTAGCACGATGAATATTGCGTGCTTCATGTCTATATAACCAAACATTGCACGTGTAACTGCGATCGGAAATATGAAGTCAAAGTAACTCGTGTAAGGTAGCACGTCATAATAATAGTAAGGTAGCGCATGTAACGTAGCAAAAGTTGTGGCCACTGCACCCCAGAATAAAAATACTGTAAAATGTCGCATATTTCTATAACCTATACAAGCTCCGGACACAAAGCAATGATGGTCTCGCTTCAAAACGCACGTGTTACACATGGGACAGTGGTGACATCTAGGTGGACGTGGTCTATTGCAACGTAAACATGGTGTCCATGAGAAATATGGATAAGCAGTTCTTTTAGGCGGCTCTTCTGCGGATGTTGGCATCTCAGAAGCAACATACATAAGACTTCCATTGTTGCCCATATCTATAGCTGTTGCATCCTTCCTCCCGTGGTTATTGATTATTCCATTGTTCTGATTTTCGTCTGCTTTATCAAGACGACTTATATTCTGACCCATTAAAACCCCGTCCGGCATGATACCGTCACGGAACGGGTTATAGCTAGTGTCCACATATCTAATGCACAACCAGTTTACTATCATTTCCATTGCTAGGAAACAACCAAGCAAACGCACGTAAAATATCACATTGTCACTATAATTTTCATAAAGGTATGGTATCGCAAATATTACTCCAATTCCGCCAACACCACTTAGTCCAATGGCGAAACAGAACTGAGATATTCTGTTAAGAAACCATACATCGGACACTATCCTGAGAACCGCTCGTTTGAGTCGCCGCAAGTCATCTTTTATTCCTTTACTCTCGCTTGGCATCTTCCCGCCTGAAAACGTGTCATGTATATCAATATTTGATTCACTTTGAAGACATAGACCTACTATTTTTCTCAAATTATTTTTAACTTTATGATACATGTTAGTTTATTTGAAAAATTATATCATAATCTTCATTAGTATTGTTTTTCATCTAAAATATACATTTACATGTATATGAAATAAAATACATTCGTTTTTAAAATATCCCATTCTAATACATGAAAAATCACGTGACGTAACTTTAAATAAATTAACTTACCCTGAAAATCCCACTTCGTGAACTATCAATATGAAATAACCATACTTCAAATGTGGGAAGTGATTTGCTAAAGAACGTGTATATACCGAACTGTATGGAAAACCAATACAGCGAGAGATCAATGACTATGAATGTATTATATCTATATACCTTGTTAGACTAAATAAGCTGGTCCGATATTGACTAGTCGAACCATGTACCCCGGGACACATAACAAACTCTTGTTTACACTGACGGATCGATTTTTAGTCAATCACTCTTGTTAATCATGTATCGCGTGAAAAATATATTGACACGTTCGGGCAGGTAAAATGTTTAAAAATAAGATTATTGTAGAATATGGTTATGCATGGATAGTTTAGTTGTAATATAATCAACAAGTTTGCAGATTAGTCTGTTAGAATGCTCATCTCCGTGACATACAAGTAAACGATCATATTTATATTCATTGTTCGATTTCTTTTTAATTATGTTAAAAGCATTTTAATCAAATTTAACAAAGTTACATTTTTACACAGATAAGAGATTCCATTATAATAGTTCAGCTATTTTTTTCCCCATTTACAATATTAGTGTGGATTTCATTTTTTTTATCATTAAACTTTCTTGAAAATAAATCTGTACATGTGCCCACACTGATTCAGAAATACCTGCGTATTTTTTTGTTTTTACGTTATTTCTAATTTCAAATCTGCAAATCTGTTGAATTAAAGTAACGCCGTAATGAGATTTGCTGCGATAAACGTGTTGATGTATTATAAACGACCACATAATATCGCCGTTATGAACATTTGTTACGATAACCGTGTTAGTACAAGTATTATATTACCAAATTGCATCGCCGTTATGAGCAATAGTTACGATAACCGTGTTGGTACGTGTATTATAAATACCATATAACATCGCCGATATGAACATTAGTTACGATAACCGTGTTGGTACGTGTATTATAAATACCATGTAACATCGCCACTATAAGCATTAGTTACGATAACCGTGTCGGTACGTGTATTATAAATACCATATAGCATCGCCGATATGAACATTAGTTACGATAACCGTGTTGGTACGTGTATTATAAATACCATGTAACATCGCCACTATAAGCATTAGTTACGATAACCGTGTCGGTACGTGTATTATAAATACCATATAGCATCGCCGATATGAACATTAGTTACGATAACCGTGTCGGTACGTGTATTATAAATACCATGTAACATCGCCGATATGAACATTAGTTACGATAACCGTGTTGGTACGTGTATTATAAATACCATGTAACATCGCCACTATAAGCATTAGTTACGATAATCGTGTTGGTACGTGTGTTATATATTCCATATAACATCGCCGTTATGAACATAAGTTACGATAACTGTGTTGGTACGTGTGTTATATATACCATATGGTAACATCGCCGTTATGAACATTAGTTACGATAACTGTGTTGGTACGTGTGTTAAATATTCCATATAACATCGCCGTTATGAACATAAGTTACGATAACCGTGTTGGTACGTGCGTTATATATTCCATATAACATCGCCGTTATGAGCTTTTGTTACGATAACCGTGTTAATGTTATATAAACACCACGTAATACCGCCGTGCAATAATCGTTTTAACGTAGGCCTTTTATAAACGCCATATAATATCGCCGTTATCAACATTTGTCACGATAACCGTGTTGGTGTATGATAAAAACCGCATAATATCGTCGACATTTGCAGTCATAACCGTGTTAGTGTATTATAAACAGTACATAATATCTTTGTTTTGAACATTAGTGACATTAACCCTGTACATAGCAGTAATTTCCGTCCGTGTAAGTTCAAGAAGTTCACCCTTTAATTAGCACCAGTAAGTAAGTAGCTTTGAAACAATCAATTTGTCTTTCCATTGATTATCATATAAACAATGCATACCATTTGGCATGATCTTTATTTGTCTGGAAGCAATTTGACACAATTCACTTAATTAGTTGTTTCCGATCAATACATACTAGATCAACTTATTGTTCAAGAAAATAAAGAATAATATCAGTTAAAGTGGAACTCTGCAGGACTGGATATTTCTAACCTCCCCTGTAAATGTGTGTTAACTAATATTTTTTATATTTTAATTTTCTTCGAAGAAAAGTTAGAAGTACAACATGTGACAGCTGTAATCAATATTAACGATATCGCCGTATCGATTTACTGTTTTATCGATCGATTACCGATATAAATTCAAAAATCGATAACAGTTCTTAAATCGATAATTTTACTCAGAAAAACTTCATGAAATAAGTAAACAGTATTCTGGAGTAATAGGCCCATGTTTGGTCCCTATGACGGTCATAAAATAATCATATATAATACACAGTAAAATAAATAATCGCAGTTCTTTTATATGTTTTTGTTTAGTTTATATTTTATATTCCTATTTCACTTTTGTCTTCACAGCGAAGGAAAGTATCTCAGAAAGAATGCAGACGACATAAACGACATAATAGAAACTGTAAATGCTATAATTAATGCACATTGCTTGAATAACAATGATAAAATGAAAATTGATGTATGAGTGGAATATAAATGGTAACATTCGATATTTCGATTCATGACCGATATTATTTGTCATTATCGATATATCATCGTTATGCCTTAACAGCTTAACATATATGTATCACATGCCAATGTCAAAGGCTGCAAAAATAACTAAAGATGAATGTACATTATCAATAATTGTTTTATTTCAAATAAATATAAGAACACATTTCTTATTTAATTGATGATTGGATAAATAAACACACCATCTTGGTTAACATTTAGATAAAGAACACATGCACAATGGGGGCAAGAGCGATGACAAGTTCAAGCATGACACATCAATGCAAAATGGAATAAAAGGCTTCAATATTTTGTATCACTAATTAAGACACCTTAAGCAAATAACCATAACCATGGTGTAAATGAAAATTATATGACGAAAAATAGAAATACAAACATTTAGTGCAATATTATATTACATCACAAGTATCGGAATTATTCTTTAGAGAGTATAGTTGTTAATAAATATACCATTTGTCAATTTTATTAATTTCACTACGAATTGTAAAATGAGCCGTGTCACGACAAAACCAACATAATGGGTTTGCGACCAGCATGGATCCATGCAGACCAGCCTTTCCCCGTTGATGAATTGTGACATACTGGGCGACAATAACAGTAATTTCCATAAAGTCATATTTCATAATTGAGCCGTGTCTGATCAGGATCCATGCTGTTCGCTGTCAGTTTCTCCACTTGTAATAGAATAACTGTTGATAAGCGAACAGCATGGATCCTGATCAGTCTGCGCGGAGGTGCAGGCTGGTCTGGATCCATGCTGGTCGCAAACCCATTATGCTGGTTTTGTCATGACACGGCTCAAATCATTTTCTTAAGATATGGATAACAAGATTGTTTCATTTTAAGTTTAAGCATTGTTCTCGCAATGTATATCAGACCCTTTAAGATTTTTTAAATTTCCAAAGTCTGTAAAGTGTGTAATTGAATTAAAAAAGGGGTTTTTTATGAAGCCCCTTTTGATATGTTGACTGTATGTATGTCGTTATTATGCAAAATCAAGAAAAATATTCAGAGATTAAGGACTCACGAAGAATCCTTTTCGGGTAATCGAACTCCTTTCATGAAACTTGAACAAACCTGAATTAGGTTTACATTTTGTACCAGTCAATTTTGTGATCTCACAATTTCCGATCCTAGAAACATACTGCCGGGCACACTACTTGCGTTACCGTAATACTCGTTTTACGGGCTCGCTGAAATCTTTTATTGAGGTTACGCCTTTACAAATGGCCAGTTTATTGGATCGTCATCAGGTTCATATAGAAATTGTAGAGGAATTATGAAGTTTAATATCCAATATTTGCCGTAAACTGATCTTAACTTATCGTTCAGATTTCGTCTGTCCGTTAACTCCATCTTGTTATCTGCTTCGAAAGTCGTTTTACCTAACATTATCAAATTAACAACTATTTTCAGAAAAGAAGTAGCCCAGTACAAAAATGTTATTAGAATCCAAGAAAGCGTAACGAATAACGCGTATCTTAAACATATGTATCCGAGTAAATATCTTGCAATAGCCACCGGAAATAGCACGTCAAAGAAACTCGTGTTTTGTATCACGTGATAATAATAGTACGGGAGTGCGTGCACAGTTGAAAATATAGTGGCAACTGTTGCCCAAAATAAAAACACTGAAAAATGTCTGAGATTTCTATATCCAATACACGAACCTGCAAAGTGGCAATGGTGATCACGTTTCAAAACACATATATTACACTGGGGACAATGATGACACCGTGGTGGGCGTGGCCTATTACATCGTAAACACGGCGTCCACGAAAAATACGGATAAGCAGTCCTTTTGGGAAGATCGTCGGCAGTCTTTGGCATTTCTGTAGCCACGTACATCACGCTCCCTGACTTTCTTTGATTTAAACCATTCGTTTTACGTTTGTTTTCATTCACTGGTTTACTTTCCGGAACACTTGCAGGCAATCTACTGATATTCTGACCCATTTGTATGCCCTCCGGTAAGGTACCATGACGGTCTGGATCGTATCTATTGTCTATAAATTTCATGCACAACCAATTAATGAACATTTGAAATGCAACAAAAAGTCCAAAAGCACGTGCAATAAGAACGGCGGTATCACCGAAGTCTGTGTAAAGATGAGGTATAGCGAAGAGAATGCCAAACATAGCTATTCCTACAAGACCAATTATAAAGCAAGACTGTGAAAATCTGTCCAGAAATAATACATCATTCACCAGTCTTCGAAATCTTATCCGTAGACCACCTATCATCTCGGTGCAAAAGTTCTGCATTTTTCTCCTCTGAAAGTGAAATGAAAACAATATAGGTAACGAACTTAACCAATGTTTCATGCTATATCAACACACGATTAATATAAAAACAAATCGGTATTAATTAGATAGCGTTCAAATTATATAACATCTCTATAAATTACATGTCAATTTACATGTTTAAATGTAATAAAGCGTACCGGTTCCGTAACTGAATACTAATATCAAAATAATGAAATTCAACTTAATTAGATTAAATTAAAAAAATAACAAACAACAATAACAACAGAAACAAAAACAACCCCATAACAAAAACAAACATTACCTTCAAATGTTCTGACTGTCCTGTGCAAATATTTATCTTCAAAGCGTGTCATGTACAGAAATGTCCACGATATTTAGTTATATTAAAGTTTAAGCTTCGGTTTGGAAAGATAATATTCCATTGTTAAACGATTTGTTGACATATAATGTGTCATAACATGCCTTAAACCTCTCCGGATAATTAAAGATAGATTAATAATTCAATAAACACAAACTTGCCTTTTATAAACCTATTGGAAATGTATCTACTTATGTTTAAAAGGACTTCAACGAGTTTAAATATACAGGTTTAAATATAAAGGTTTAAATAATTGATAAAAGTTTAAATGACAACAAAAGTTAATTATAAATAATAAACATGAAATTTATAGTAAAACGATATTTCTGTTAATTTGTTTAACGTACTTAAACTCAAATTGATTATGTACAGAGAGATTTAAACTTGTTTTAACTCGATGAAAATTTGTACCCATATGCATGTACATGTATTGTTACTACCCGACAAATAAATAAATACAATCGCATCATCTCGGCCATTTCCGTCAAACTTCGGATAAGGACAAGTAAAGAACGGATGTACCTATATACGCTAAGAAACTGAACATGTAAAACAAATAGTACTTTAATGCCAAATTTATACCAATGTATCGAGTAAAATCCACCTAAATTATGTATATTTATTATAACAATACATTATTTACATATGATTATGGTTGTAGAAACAATTCGGATTCGATTATAACTGTTCATCAATAGGCATTTTTAAATTGATTATGGATGTCAAACACAATGTCAAGTGGAGCGGTGCTCTAGTTATTAACTGGTCTATTCTAGCCAGAGATCCTTGGCTCGAACTCTACTTACCTCTTATGCCAGCAGGACTTGTTAATTCCTGGGAGACGACCAAAAGAGGCATTAAGTTCAGTTTTTATGACAATCAGGCTTATATAGATATACATGTATGTCACATAGTGAAAAATGCTTTTGTCATAACAATTATTTCACATTGGCTTGATGTATGAATCATTTCTAGGTGCATTTTATTCCACCTAGGTGTTTCAAACAGTCTGTAAGAACAAGTAACGGTTAATGTCATTGATGATGTTTTGATTAAATAACTCAGGAAACGTTATAACAATTATTTTACGTATGGAGCACAGGCTATATTTACATCGCGAGTATATGTATAATTTACAAAAGATGGCCATATTTAAGAAATAGTGCAAATCACAGGACCTTACAGCATTATAATGACCTATCAGTTAGCCCCAAACCTTTAACTTATCGAGCTTATAAAACTATTTTCAAACATCGAAGAATATGTAAACTATGAACTGTAAATATGTGTGCACATTACATGTATATATAATCATTTAAATATATATATTCATTTCTTATTGAAAAAATTGACTTAAACTGTATAGAAAATAAATTTCTAATTACCTCCCTTTATTTACATAAAATGTTTAATTCGGTAATATATTTATAAATAATGCTTTTTGGAACTTACAAAATTGATAAATCTTCATTTGAACATTATATGTATGATATAAAACATAAAAAAATTGTGTTACAGGATCTTTAAATGTTTTTGGCTAACTAGGAGGCCACACTATAACATGTATAATGTTATGAGGACCGAAGTACATGTGTGCTGTTTCTTATATTAAACCGCACTTTCCTGGAACATAATCATAAAAGTTATATTAATTCAATCACATAATACAATTAGAGAAGAAAATCTGCAGATAAGTAAGTTACATCAATACTGCTAACTAAAATTGTCAGTCGGCTCGCATACGAAGATTAAAAAAAAATATTAAAAATGTCTTCGATTATAGAATAGATCAAATTACAATTTGACACCGAAACAATGTTCCCCGAGTATCTTGCTACGTGAATGGAATAGTAAACTAGAAACAAAAACTTTCCATTCATATACCAATGATCCACGGTGTATAATCGTTCCGGGCTGATTTGGAATACTTTCCCTTTCCTGAACTGATTTGGATTTATTGGCACCGGTCGATCCAGATAAAATGAATTTTTAGCTTGACAAGGTAAGAAAATATATAAAATAAACACATTTACATCTTTAAGGAACGGGAAAATATTCCAAATCAGCCCGGAACGATTACGCACCGTGTGATCGTGTTCTATAATTACAACAGATATGGCTCTCTTTATATGGCTACGTGCTGAATTCCACTTAATATTTCCTACATTGTGTTTTAATAATTTAGATGATAAAGAAAACGCCTTATGATGACCAAGTCACTGGTGGACTATTGCTGAAAGAGTATTTTCATTATCCCCCATGAACCTAGTCTGCAATGTTCACGTAATTTTGTTATGATTAATGCTTCTGAGGGATCAACTTCTTTCCAGATTTCTTTTTATCTTAACCAATCGAATGGTGGGTAATTATCTTATCACCTAAGAATTACTTTTTGTTGCACTTTATCACTTTAAGTCGCAAAGTCGCAAATATAAGGCGAAGCCATTTAATGCAGAACGAACTTTCAGTATGGTGGTAACAACGATTGACTCTGTTTGATGTTTCTATTACCTTTTCTTTGTATGGATTTTTACGTCGCACCAACACTGTCATATATATATGGCGACTATCCAGCTTTAGTGGTGGGGGAAAACCTCAGGTGCCCGTCCGTGAAGTATTCTGGGCAGAGGCAGGTACCTGAATAGCTTCATAACTTTTCAATAACTATCCAGGATATAAAAATAAACAAAACAACATTGTGAAAATGAAATGCCAATTTATTGTAAATAAAGCATACAGTCAAACATATACATGTATAAAACACTGTTGACTAAATTGTACCTAAATATCTATGCAAATACATTGTATGTACCTAAATATCTATGTAAATATCATGTATTTTATTTTTGTAAAATACGCATAAACGTTTAGTTTAAAAATACCATAACATTGTTTTTTGTTTTGTTATTAATATCATATACAGTTTTAGAAATAATTTTAGAGTGTTATTCAGAATTAAAATATTTACTTTAAATATGAGGCATAGATATGCTTTCTAAAGAACATACTTGTTTTGTATGTTTGGCGAAGCATAATATCCCATAATCAAATAATTAAATTACTGTGTTATCTGCAATCTAGAAAAAGGGCTAACAATTTGAGAGCAACAAAAACATCAATACATGTGAAAATCGTAGACTGTTTGATTGTGTAAGTGAGTACACAGTACACAGTTTACTATTTATATATAATTATGTATATATACAAATTATAGCGTCATAATTCTTTAAATTTCACTGCTGTTCACATACAAGTATTTTAATACAAATGTTAAAAGTATCAAAATATCTTGACGTATGACACAGTTCCAGCGGAACCAAATCAACCAAAATTATTTTCGTTTCCAAAACGAACGACGATATTTTTTGGGGAAATTCAAATAAAATGAGACTCTGATCAATTTATAATTAAGCTTTAACTATTGTGGACACAATCTGCCTACTACTATTCTTGTGTGTAATATTTCTTGTATTTGTTTATCTATAATTATCAGATAAAAATGAAGAATTATAACAACATCAATAACGTTAATATTTTTCATTTGTCAAATATTAATTATTCATATTTTTGTATAACTGTCCGTCCGTAATGCAATCGGTAGTCAAACTTTTACTCTTAAAACTTACGACGCACAGATCTTTGTAAAAAATCAGCGACATATGCTAAAATAATATGTACTAGCGCCAAACTGTAAACCGAGACTGTAAACCGCGTCAAATACATGGAAAAACGCTCCAGCGAGCATCCTAGAATTCCGGGGGAGCATGCCCCGTACCCTTTAAAGACCAAAATGCCCGCACGGGCCTGAGTTTCCAAAAACAACTATAAACATGCTAAACAGACTTTTTATTCATTTAATCAAAAAGAACGTCTCCATAATAATCTTTTTTTATTTCCTAATACCTCTTGGTAACATAACATGATGGCTTAAAATTTTTAATTCTTGAATGTACTAGTACTTGAGCTCGTGCCATCCTTAAATGAATAATTACAAACGCTAAATACAATAACATACCATCAACTTAGCAAGGTTAGTATCAGATGAGAATATGCATATGCAAATCAATGAAAATCAAACTTTTTCAAAAACGATATGGTTATAAAATGTAAATTGCAGAAGGCATTTTTGCAAATGGCAAAGTAATGGTTCAATAAGATAAATAGCATTTTTGTCTTGGTGGCTGTATGGAGACATTCCAGGTTATTTTCTGAACTGGTTTACATTGCCTGGTGTTGAATGAATTCTTCTTTTATTTCAGTGAAAATGAACAACATACAGCCGAACCGGAGAAATAGTAAGGCTTGCTTTCTTATAATTCAGTTCTTCCGCTAATAATAATAATAATAATAATAATAATAATAATAATAGTAATAATACAATGTAATAGTAATAATAATATTGATAATAATAATAATAATAATAATAATAATAATAATAATAATAATAATAATTTATTTATTTTTTACACTTTTCGAAAGTTAATGAATTTGCCATATAGAAGAACGATCCTTTGATTATAATCTAATGCTCTTTGGCAATTTTATTTTTATGTTAAATTTATTTTCAAATCTTTATAAGAAAAATTATAGTGATTACATACATTTTGTATGGAAGTCAAATACTTTTTTGATTACATTTTGTAACATATTCGACACATTATTGCACGATATGCTCTTAGCTCTTCTTTTTACAGTTGTTTTACATCAAACATGCCCTAGTCCATCATTAAAATATTTTCGAAAAATGTTTGATGTAAGCAAATGCTAATGGACGTGAACGTAGACTGCACACACCACCATTGTCCATGAACAGACTCATTTAAACAGATCCTAAAACCATTTTATTATTGCAATTCTTGTCGATTTTAAGGTTTCCATGTCTTTTATTTAACTCACTGTTAGCCTTGCTTAAAGTTTGGCGACAGACAAAAAAAGAGGTGTATGTTACTTTCTTTGTATTTCGATACAACGTTTTTGGCTTTAATTTGACATTATATGTGATTCTTAACGCGGTTTATATTATCAAAACACTTACATCCTTTCAGACGACAATATGAATGTTTTTCTGTCGGTATTTGGAGCACTTGTGATAATTCTACGAAATTTGAACACGCGTTGCTTGCGAACGTTGAGATCATCAACGTAAATTGTAAACTTAGGTGACTTTTTAAGAATCTCTATAATTTCCTTGAAATCTTTTGTGTCATCGACGGTAAGGTTTTCAAGACATACATCAAACTCATGTTGTAAATTTTCTATAGAGTCAAAAAGTAATCGCAATGCGGTGGTTGA